CGTCCATTCCGTAGGACTGGCAGACCGTTCTGATACTCCCGTCCTGCATCAAACTGCTCAAAGACGGCGACTGTGCTGGAATCGTCAAGTTCGAGCCAATTTTGGGGGAAGGCAAATGGCCTATGATGTTCTTGCTTTTTGCCCCCATTACTATGATATGAAGGGTTATATTGAGAAAGAATCATCCCATGTCTCCTGAAGGGAGTCCAGAGTCTTTCCTTCCAAAGTTTCCTCATTCTTTTGTGCAATCTGCGCCGTAGCTGCTTCTCCTGCTTGTTCCACTACTTTCGCCGACACAAAGGTAACAGTTGGATACGGAGATTTCTTTTCAAAATCCAGCAACCTTTGTCCATCCCCACCGAATTGCCAATTGGGATGAAATGGTGCCACAATAATATCATCCAAATCCCAATCGTCTTCCAAATCTGTAAACCATTCGTAAAAATTGATAAAATGCTCCCATTGATCGTAAGCGTCGTGAAAGCCACCAATGCGGTCCATAGTGGTTTCCTCAGGGACACAATCAGCATCTTCGTCCTCTTCTTGAAATACCACAAGAAATATAATGGACGACTCCTTTTCGGGATACTTTTGACAATACTGTAAGCACTTGTCGGCTACGGCCAGACAAATGTCATTGGCGTATGTCCCAGTAGTATACAGAATGTCTTGTTCTTTGGGCACGACAAAGATTTGCATGGCGCTGGGAGTATCCAAACTGCCTTTGGCCCAGGGGCACAACCCCAACTTGAGTACAAAATGTTTGGACCAATTCCAAGTGCGAATGGCAGCGGGTAGCAGCGAGACCTCCGAGATTGGTTTCCATTCCTCATCTTTCGACGTCATCGCTGAATCATCATCACCGTGTGATGATGGCGACCACAACCAGACCAGCGGTTCTGGAAAATTGCTCATCTCCAAATCAGTGTTATTGTCATTATCGTTAGCTTGTGATGATAATGAGAATGCAGCTCTTCGATTCCAATGGTTGATGCTGATGCTCCTTTGGATGATCGCGTACTCCTGTCGTTGATTTCGGTAGACGATTCCATTAATTTTATTCCCAGTGCTCCAACCTTGAACCTTGACAGTCTGAAGGTAGAAAGTGGTGACAATAAATACCCATATTCGTAGCAGGTTTACAGACTTTGCCATCATCGTCGACTAATCGTTATTGTAATAAAAAATCATTTTTCTGAATTACAGCTGACCTGTGGGGTACTGACATAGGCGCACAATATTATAATAGCTGAAGCTTATCTCTTCCACAAAGCCTTGGAAATGCCAGTACCTACAGTAGTCAGATGGTTGACAGTAATTAAACAGATTAACAAGAGTTGTTCAGTATTTTATTCATCGTCATCGATTTCGAACAACATTTTGAACTCTTCCAAGTCGGCCAATTGATTCTTTCTCGTTTCTTGTTCGTCTAGGGTATCAAAACCAGCCGGCATTCCCATGATTTCTACCGAAGAACGACGGGCCACCACATTGGATCGCCCAAAGGCTTGATTCAGTCCTGCTACACTGGACTTTTTCCGAGCCATGCTGCTGCCCTTGACCACTAGTGGAGTACCTTCTCCCGGAACAGTGCCCTCATATTCATCCTCCGCCATTTCATTGTCGTCGCCCTTTTTCCACGCTGCATAAGACAAACCTACTAGACTCAAGGCACATAATACTGGAGCATAAAGCGCCAGGGATGTCAACTCGCGATTGTCAGCAGAAGCATATACTTGTTCGGGTGATCGAATGACATAGGCGGCGACAAATCCAGGAGTACTGTTGGTGCGGTTGGTTGGTGAAATAGGAAACCAAAGTGAGTTTGGCAAGCCAAGGGCGAACTGATATCATGCCATGCAACTTACGTGAATCCCGCCACGCTGGAAAACATTGACAAAATGGCTTGCATGGTTGCTTGACTAGACTCCAAGGCTGGTTGGTCCATGACCGCCTTGGTAAAGTTGGATCTGTTGGGAGATGCGATAAAGGGAAAGCCAGCAACTGATATCATGACTGGGACAATGTATTGCCATGCCACAGCCGCATCGGTCCACATCCAGTACGTAAGTACTCCACCAACCATGAAAAACAAATTGCCCGTAGCGACTAATTTGGTATCGGAAACCTTTCTCGCCGACAGATACATGACAAGCGTCATGACCCCAAAAATAACAATGGAAGTGGCGCCCAAAACTCCAGAGGTTTCCACAGGACCCCATCCCAGTCCATGACTGGCAGCCGGAGGCAATGCGGTTTCAATCAGTTGAAAGGCAGAATTGGCCACAAACAGAATAAAGGTTGGAAGTAAAATGCCTATTGACAGGCAAGATTTCCAAAAATCAGCCGAATCAGATCCTGCATTGATGGCTTCAGGTAGCTTGATCTTGTCTTCCTTTTCTGGTGGTTCTGGCAGAAAAAAGTACACCGTGAGTGCCGTGACAAAGTTCCCAATCGCCAACAACAGTCCCACGGCATTCAAGGGATCCAGTGGAACTCCAAAAACATGGCCATCGATCGTATCCAAAAAGTAGTTGACTCCTGGACCCACTGTCATTCCCACAATTCTCATCATGGAAAGCAGGGTAGAAGTCCGGGTCTGCATTTCCGGAGGAACCACCGACGCCAAATAGGCATATCCCAATGCTTGATTGGCTGCACCGAGTCCACTGAGAAACCGTCCCACAAAAATCATGCCCACAGCAATTTGGGGGTCGGTCACCATCACTGCCAAGAAATATAGGAGAGCACCAATCACTGACACCACCAGACTGGACAAGTATGGAACCCGAAACTTATTACCCCCCTTGTCGACCCAAGCTCCAAACACGGGTTTCCCACAAAACGAGGCAAAACTGAAAATGGACATGATCAAACCGTAGTCTTCCTTGGTGCCTCCCAATTCCAAAACGTAGAAGATCAGAGACGGAGACACCGCCATATAGCTGATGGAATCAATCAGACCAATGACGGCCAGGACAAACATGGATTGTTTTAGCATTTTGATATCAACAATGAGTCAAAAGATAGGAGATTGTGATGATAATGACTGGAATGGGATGTACTCGTATAGAAAAGTGTGATATCTTTTTACTTGCCGCGGTTTTGGGATTTTTTGATGTTTCGCTTTTGATCACTTTGGTCGAATGAATGTTCGTTGGAACTCCAAAGCCAATGGACAGACGTAGTGTCTTTCTGCCTTCTTTGGTCGTCGGCACCCTTCTGTTGTTGACCCATCCGAATGTGTGATACTTGACAAACAAAATAAGCAACAAACCCAAATCCCTTGTGGCAATACCTTTGATCCATTCTACTTCCAACTACATACATAAAAACCAGTAATTTCAAGATGATGAGCGACAGCAGCATTCCCGTAATGAACAAGCCAGCCGACGTAATGTCTGCTGGTGTCAATTCCAACAACTTGCAAACTACTGCCAGACAACGCCATCCAGTGGACCAATTACAGCGTCAACAAGGTAAATTGAATGAATCGTGGGACCTAGCTATGGTCTTGTGTGTGCGTGACTGTGCTCCCTTTTTTCGCTAGTGTTCTGATCTTTTCCTTCTCGTTCAATTCTATTTTTCATAGCCTACCAAAAGGCTACCTTTTTTGGCACCACCGAAGAGGAAGAAGTCCGAAGAATCTACGGCGCTGGAATGGCCATGCAACTTGCGACTGAGAGACGCATGGCATTGGAAATGGGAGGACGTGGTGTTGCTGGACTTCCCTCGAGCAATATGATGTTTGAAATTTTGTCTGGAAACGACATGAAGCTGGGATTTGAAGACACTTTGAACCTTCCAGATTACCGACCCATTTTCTCCAAGTCTCAAGAAGATCCACATGCGGCTATGGAACGCAAGTTGGGCATGTAATTCACTTTTTATTTTATTACTCTGTTGTCTGGGTGTGAGAAATATAACTACTAACTTTTAGAAATAAGAGCACTCGGATTATACTATTTCCAACTTGTAGCATCATTGTTGCGTTGATTGTTTCAGGACTATGCCTTAGGACCGTTTCATATTTCTCATTTGATATTTAAGTTTCAGTCGACTGTATGTCCTTTGTATTCTCTAATCTTATTCTATCTATAAATTATTACAGTATTGCTGTTGATTCAATAAACGCATCATCTACGATCGATGGTATGCTGCCTGGACTTCGTCTTGCAAGCTGGTTCCGTTCGAAATGCTTGCTTCTGCATCATGCTTGCGGACAACAAGATAGGCTTGACTCATGGTGGGACTCATGAGTTTCATCAAGTGGTCATCCTTTTCGAGTGTTTGTAGAGCTTCCATGACATTCTCTGGCAATGGACGTGGTGGAATACAACTGGAATTATCATCCGCATTCGTTTTTTCATCCAACGAGGGGCGCAAGGTCCACTCTTGCGCAACCCCGTCCAGTCCAGAGGACAAGAGACCAGCCAATGCCAGATAAATATTACAGGAGGCATCTACAAACTTAACTTCGACATGGTTCCATTCTTGTGTTGCCAAATCGGAGCACACCCGGACGCCAGATTCCTTGTCTTCCAAGGCCCAACCCAATTGACTCCCTGTCCAGCATCCAGGTCCAACCCGACGAAAGGAATTGACTGTTGGCATGGTCAATCCCATTATTGCAGGCAGATGCTGCAAGAGGCCTTCGACAAAGGAAGCTCCCTTGGCGGAAAGGCCAGCCCCACCATCATTGGACAATATTGGTGCTCCAGTGGTGGAATCGAAAATGGACATGTGCACGTGCATTCCATTGCCCGCTTGCATCATGTCGTACTTGGGAAGGAAGATTGCCCGAAAGGCATATTTCTTGGCCATGGCGCGAATGGTTTCCTGGGCTAGTATTACACTATCGGCCAACTGGACGGGATCTTTGGAATATTTCAAGACAACTTCCAGTTGACCAGGTCCCGATTCGGAGTGAATGGTTTCGATCTCAATGTATTGTTGCTTCAGCTGATCGTACAAGTCTACCAAAAAGTCTTCTTGTTCGTTCAGGGATATTGTATTGGCAAAGGTAGATCGATCAGCAAAGTCAGTCAAGCTTGACATTAGACAGAATTCCAACTCCACGCCAACCGCCTGAACCACAAGGTGTGTGTATGTATGCATAAATGAATGGGTCAGATGTGTGCCATGACAAGTTGATTGCTTTCACACAAAATTTACTTACAAATCCAATGTTATGGGTATGCTTGGCGTCTTGAACCACACGTTGCAGGAGACTCCTCGTACAAAGTGGACTTGGCTCGCCTGTGTATTGATTCATTAGATTGCCCATGATCAATGCTGACTTTGGAGCATACGGAAGGTTTCGAAAACTGCTCAAATCTGGTTGAATATTCAGGACGTTGCGGGCATCCAAGCCAGTTCCTGGAGTCATGGCATCCGCGGAATAGGGAAGGCCACCATAGCATATTTCGGCGACGGACAATTGATGGTCCAGAGAAATGTTCGATTGTACGAGGAGTTGATCGACAGGTTTGACCTTGCAACGAACGTTGTTGTATAGGTCAACAGTGAAATATCGAAGAAACTTGACCCCACTGAATTGCAAACTGCGAAGCAAAGCCGTGGCATAAGCTGATTCCTGCTCGAGTCGTCTCAAATCTTGCTGATTCATCTTGGACGTCTTGTGGGTGTTGTGTTCGTTGTTCTTGGTGATCATACGCTTGGATATAGCTCGCTCTGAAGGAAGTGGATAGATTATTTGTTAAAGCTATTGTCGTTTTGTTTGTCGGTGATTTATGATTACATTCTGCAAGGTTAGCTGAGGCGGCTGAGCAACATGGATATGTAAAAGTGTGATTCCACTATACAGTATATTGCAAAACTTCTTCACTTGGAACCGTGATCAGCTTGGCACTAACTTAGTTCCAAGCCCAAAGCAGCAACGTTTCACAGCGAACGTGAGTGGAGAAGGGGAAAGAACACCCCCGTCACATAAATGTCAAACTTTTGAGATGCTCTTCACTTTTCTGTAACAATCAAACTCTGTTCCTTTCGAACTCACAAATCTCAATCACACAGCATGCAAACTGACAAACCTACCAACACCGTTCCAGTGGAAGCTGCAACGACTTCGAACTTCATCCCTAACTCTCTGGTTATAACTGATGATCTCCAAGAGACGACTGATGATAACGACATCCAGCTATTTGGGCCTGGTGATTCTTCCTGCTTGTTCCCACTCGTCGAGAAGAACATGCTGATGTCTGATAAGAAGCCAACATCCTCAGCCATACCAAGCTGCTTGAAACGACCGAGTGATTCCACCGACTGCCACAGTCTTCCATCTCGCCTGGAACCCCGTGTTCGTTTCAACAACGAACTTGACTCTCGGTGGGCGAATGGCTCTCCAAAGTGCCCAAAACCTTTGTCTCCAATCCAGCGATCCATCAGCAAATGAGAAGCACACAGTAGCCGTCCCGCTTAAAAAACACTATGGATAGAAAGATAAATAGAGACAAAAAAATTACAATGATACATTTGGGTAAATTTGATAGTCCCAATGAAGCAACAAGACTTCCATTTTGATCAACAGCACACACTACCATCACTCGGCCCTAGGTCCTTTTTCGTCCTTGCGGCTGGTAATGTCGATTCCTCCTTTGTGGATGCTTATCGTTTAGGCTCAGCACTAGCCCCCAGCACTAGCCCTCGTAGACGATGAGCCCAGCTCTCCTTGGTACAATTGTTTTTTGCTACGAAAAAGTCTTGACCTCCATATCTATCGTTCTCATTCGTCGCATCTTCTGCTTCGACAGGATTTCCTTTCGGTTACACGTGTTTTAGACTATGTTCGGGCTTGTTCAATCGCGACCATATACATAAGGACGATCCTTTTGCGCAACAAATAGATCTTGCTTTGTGCTCCAAAGAAGCAAATGTGACGGGCCTTGCGATACCAAGGACCATAAAACCATATAACATGGAAAAACGATCTTCAAGTATTTTGATACAAGAATTGAGGGACGTAAGAGCTTTGTAGCGGCTTCTTGTTCTTCACAATTCCTCGAGATACAGTACCAAAAAGGCCTCACACAACAAAGTGCACGTCGAGAAGTCATTTAGCAGTCTAAGAAGGGAAAGACAATCGATTTCAAAGATTGAAATGGTTCACTCTGACGCTTTGATCAGGATCAATCATCCACAAGGCTTTACTCATGCCCAGGAGGGCCGCATCGAACCAGCCGCTCATTCTTCTTCTCTCGAGGAGAGCAGAGGTTTGGCGTCGTCATCCTCACCAAGATCAAGCTGCTTGAAACGACGAAGCGATGCTTCAGATTCCAACAGGAGCCTTCCTTCTCAGCTAGAATGCCATGTTCATTTCAACAAAGACTGCGACTCTCGGTGGTCCAATGGTTCCCCAAGCTTTACACAACCTTTGCTGCCCTTGAAGCGCAGCATAAGCAATTGAAGGAGGATTCTTTTTCTCGATTAGAAAGCATCCAACATAGATGATAAAGAAGGGGCACCAGCAAAAATAACTACCCATTTAGGTCATTTTGATTAGCTACATAAGAACGAGCTGTAAATTTTCAAGTTTAATCAGCAAGTTCTTCTAGCTAGTGGTTTTCTTGCCCATGGGGTCGTTGCTCTAAGCATTACATTCGTAGCTGGTACTAGCACCGACCTGGTCCTGTAGTCCTTGAGGTATTTTTCTTCAGCGACACTTCGCGTTTTCCCCCAAATAAGTCGTGCCAGATTCATCATGATAAAACATTTGTACCCCAAAGAAAAACAAACAGGCCAAAGAACGTACAGGTGTTGGCGTATCCTCACCTCAAAAGAACAGACTGAGAACAAAACCTGGAACTTTTGGTCCAAAATGTCACTCAAGCAGAGACTGAGCCAAGTGCAAGACTGTTGCTCAACGTCTTAGCTAGACTGAAATACGAATTGTGAGAAGTTTACACTCATGTTTGAGGACTACACAGTTTCTAGAAGATGGGGTCAGGATTGGCGGGTTCTTATCAGAGTTGACATCAGGTAAAACAAAAATGACATCCTTCAAGATGTGGGGGGCGTAAACACCAAACTGGTATCAGTATCTTTCAAAATTACAAATATATAACACATAAGAGTCTTTCCACATTACACGGTTCCCCCATTCATCATCGAGACTTCCAGTATTCTGTCGAGATCAAAGTCAGCTTGGTACGCTCCAAATTGCTCAGTGACATTATTTTCATGTTCCACAATGGCTGAGCAGTCAATCGAGCTATCTTCGGAACTGCATTCCGTCAATCCAGAAGAATAGGACAAGCTTTTCGTTGCTTCCTTTACATGCGTATGGAATGATGAATCTTCAACAATGATTTTGCACCCATTCTTCTGTGGTCCGGGCACAGTACTAGTTTTCTGCTTATCGAAGTAATCTCGGAATAATGCACCAAACTTCTCAATGGAGCTGAGATCTGACGAACTGCCTTCGGTTTTCTTTTCTCGCAGAGAAGGGAGATCGGAATTGTTTGTCTGTTGATCCAAGTATTGATCAAGAAGCACGCTAAGCTTCTCAATTGAGCTGGTACTTGTGGACTGGTCTGGCGAAGCCGTAGACGAAGAAGTAGCCTCTCCGGAGACGTAATTTCTCGAAGCCAGGGCTGCATCCCTCTGTTTAGCCATACTCAAACTATATAACGCCTGCTCCAATTCAAGTGTCTCTTGCCAAGACATTGGAGGTTCAAATACAATGGATTCTTCATTCATTTTTCCGGTTCCAATAGGTGCTTCATCATGGAAGCTATATCTGTCGCTCAAATTTAGAGAGTGTTTTTGCTGGATTAACTCCCTTAGACGTTGAGCAGCAGCTTGGCGACTTTCGAAAGACCTTGGTGTGCTTTGGAACCCATTCAAGCTTCTCTCCCCCCTCTTCCGCTTTTGAATCCTTTGCTTCGTCTTTTCAGCAGTCTTACTAAGCGCCCTTTCAAACTCTCTACAATGATGTTTCAATGCAGAGGTCCCCTCTCTACACATCTTCCACATCTTTTGTGATGGTGGGGCATCTGGTAAACTTTCACTCCGCGCTTGACTTTTTGCTGCAGGACAAGAGAGCAAGCGGCGGGAAACGTTAGTAATACTCTGCAATTGCTTTGAGCAACTAATTCGGAGCTTATTCTTAAAAGCCGTGTTCTTGCTGGTTTGATCGCTTTCACTGATCACATTGTGTCCCGACAAAGCACTGCATACCCCGCGACAATGTCGAGTACTTTCGTCAACCGCCACTGTAATGCTCTCTTTCAGATGAATAGACGCTAAGTTTTCCTCAAGGTCGATTTTTCTTTCCCCACGCTCAGTGAAGAAAGTGAAGCCATCAATCGTTGGAGAAAATTTGTAACGGAACTCACACTCGTTGTCAGAGTTCTGTTGATCAGCTGATGGTGATTTGCTCACGTTTACCGAGTTTTGTGGTCCATCTGACGAAAACTCCTGGAGCTTCTCGTCGTCAACTGAGTTCTGTTTTTCATGTGATGAGAAAAGCAATACATCATAAGATCTTCTAGGAGGCTCTGGTTTCCCCTCTTGGAATTGAAAGTCGTTCGAATTATTGCTGCAATCGAGCACATCTGGGTCACAAACAGATTCTTTTGAAACTGACAATGAAAAGCTTCTGAACACGCACTCCACGTAGTCTTCATGACTCGTCGCGTCCTCATGGAACAACTGAAGCTTTTTGTTTTCTTGGGCTGTAGCTGCTTCCTCCAGAATTGGTCTTAGTGGGCGCCCTCGATGGTCCATGACCATGATATCTATGATGTTTTGGAAATCTTATTATAATATTTTGATGTTTCACAATCTCCTGTCGTCAGACGGAAAATGTGAAAACCCAAAATCCCGTCGCAAAAGTACTAAGTATTCAAATAATTTAGCTTCGCCAGCGAGCGCGTCTGGTCGCGCAAATGGGGAAAAATATTTTTAAAAAAATATGGCAAATAACTAGTTGTATTGCTCTGAGAGTCAGTAGCTGCTGAAAAAGATTTGAGGGCTCTTTGTTGCTTTGGGTTTTGCACCAAAGGTCGTCACGAGATTCAGTTTGCCCTCAATCCCGTTGATGTATGATGTTGTCACTCTGATAGAGTTGGGACAATCCACTCCATTAATTTTCGCAATACGCATTCCAGACTTCACCCCAGATCCCCTGAATTTACAATGACTCTCCATTTCCGCAATGTACACTCCACCATTTTGACCCTGTGCTAGCTTCAGTCCAACGTCTTCATTGCAAATCTTTTGGATCTGGAATGAATGCATCGTTGTTGGGGCTTTTTCTATCTTTCCCATGTCGAGACTGAACACAAAGCTGTTTCTCTTCGCATTCGTGCTGAAGAAATGGTATGGGGAGTCTGCAGTTCTCCCCATCTTGGTTTCATCAGCAATTGGACTAGACTTTTGAACACTGCGTAGAACAGCAGCTGGAGCAATGGTCTCTTCTGACTTGACCGTTTCTTGGGATGATGTTCTCTTGGCTGCATCGGTCGACTGTCCAACTGGGCTGACATCGGGAATAGAACGGGAGAGAAGAACAGTTGGTCTCGACCTAACCATTGCTTGATTGGAAGTATCTCCCTGTTGCGAGATGGTTTCGTTGTCTTCCTCCTTTGCATTTTGAGAAACAATCGTAATCTTGCCCTGTGCTTGAGGGCTTGTTTCTTCGTTCCGATGTTCGTCAAATGGCTTGGATTCAGCATGAGCTGATGCCAATTCCTTGTCAATGGTAGATTGGGTTTCAGTCCCTGTTTCAAATTCATCTTTTTCGTTTACAGCATCTTCACTGGCAGCGGCATCACGAGTTGCCGTTTCTTCTTCATCTAGTAATAGTTCCCTTGTACCAGCTACCTCGTCTTGTGTCTTTTCTTCAATGACATTTCGTTGGGAAAGCATATTGTTCAATGGATAAGTGCACATATCAATCGCATGGAAAGACACAGCTGCCATTCCAAGGGCTCCTGCTCCACAAAAAGAGACCATGGCTTCGCCGGCCGATCTATCTTGGTTTACGAGAAGTCTTCGGCAATTCAAATCAACAGCAATGATGTCCCATATTGTACCAGCCCCGTTTACCAGTTCGTCAATGGAGGAAGTTTCGCTGCAGATCTTCCCATTCAACATCACAACCGTCATACCCTCTCGTAGGTCAAGCGGGCATTGTTTGCTGAAGGTAGCAACTTCGGTGATAACAACCTCATTGGATTCATTCATATCAAGTTCGACTTGCTGGATAGTTGTATTTACAGTCTCAGTTGTGGCTTCGACAGTGATATATTTGACACCATTTTGGATAGAGTCCAAAGCCTCTTGCGCTTTCTCCGGGGTCTCCCATGCCATGAATTGGTCGTCAATGGCAATTACTTTCAACCCAGGCAACAAATCGGCGAATGGGCCATCTTCTTGTACCGTCTTCACGTATAGCGGTAGATTTTCTCCCTTGCGATCAAATGTGACACCATAGGTTCCGAAGTAATCCTCCATGTTTGCCTCCAGGATCATTGTGTATTCCTTGCAGTAATACTTTTCTGGGGCAAACTCGGCAGTCACGGTCATGGTCGTTTCCTTCTCAAGTTCAGCCATTGCTTCTTCTGGAGAGCTCCAAGTCATATATTTTCCATTAATGGCCGACACAATCATACCAGACTCGAGATCACTGTATGAAAAAGGACCATGGGATGTTATGTGTTCAATACAGAGAGGAGAATCCGGTTTGGCTCTGGTAAAGTATATGCCCACATCACGATTAGGGTTTCGTTTCGCTACCGCGAGGTATGATTCCACGACGACATCTGCTTCATTGACAGAGATTTCATCCATCACTTCTGGGGGAGCATCACGTTGAATCACGGTGACCTTTGCTGTCGCAGGTTCCCACTCTTCTCTGTCGTCGGACTCGTCATTCTCCTCATTGTCGATCAAATTGCTGTCTTCCTCCTTCAGAAGCTCTCTCCAATCATCACTTTTGTATTGATGATTCGAGAGTGTTGGTTCTTGGAAGCGGACTGACTTTTGCAATCTGACCTTCATCGTTAGCGGAAAATATCTGTCGTCTGTGTTGTTGTGATTTTGACGAGTGAAATGTATTGTGAAATGGCGATTTTGGAGTTCCAAAACGCGACCTAAAACGAGCTCAACTGTCGCGTTAGCGCACGTATTTGCCAATCAAATTTGGTTTGACGACAGTGTGGTGCACGAAAAATTCCCAGGAGTGCACAAACATTGGAGTGCACGATGTGAGTTGCACGCTGCTAGTCAGCATCCTGGTATTGTTAGACCAGAAAAATATACGGTACGATGCCGACTCCAGGGCGTGCACGAGGAGAACGTTCAGACTTTTCAGGCAACAAGCAAATCACAACAGCGAAAAAATGAAGTTGTACATGAACAAATAACCTGATAATGTAGTTTATTGGCATATGCAATGGAGGATTCATTATTCGTTAGACGATGTTGATTAAGATTGACTGGCTTGTCCAAAAGGTTTTTCATGCACACTTTTAAACTTATGGAGTTGGTTGTTGCAAGCCGCTACCGATGTAGTGTACTGTAGCTCTCGGAGACGCTGGCTACTGGAGAAACCAGTACTGTAGTGGCGGCTTCTGTCACGAAAAGCAGGGATGTGGTGGAGTGGCGATACCGTTGTTCAAGTTTCATCGCTCCTAGAATGCATGACTTCATAGCCGAAGGCCTTCATAGTATAATATAGCGCCACAGTACAATATAAGAGATTAGTTGACTGTGAATCGTTTATTTTTATATTCTTCTTTCTTGGCACTTCTTCCCCTAGAATCAACCAGACATATTCTCTCCTAAGTATCGGGTCGGCAGCCATCATGGTATCTATTGGAATACTACATGTCAATCAATTGAGGGGGGCACATGCACTAGTACTTCACATCCAAACAACGAAGTATAGAAAAAGATAACAATCATTTCTACTAAACTTTTTTAGGTCTTCCCCCCAAGATATGACAGGGAATTGTTACTTCATCTCCTTGACCAAAATGGTTGGAGTATTTTCAATTTCGTCTCATTTCGGGGCAAGGGTTAGAGGATGCACGATGTAGGTCCTTGCAAGACTGATCACCTCTTTTGGGAAGGTAACACTTCTTCTTGTAGTACTAGTGCTGGGCGTCGAAGATGGTCACCACAGTATCATTCCTCCATGGTCGTGGTACCAGGTACCCCTGGTATGCATGATCAGAAAGTGTTATCGGCGGTTCGGGTTGCAAAATGCTTGGGGACTACGATTACAATTCTCATGTTCTTCAGAAAATGGGACTACGTAGTGCACCTGCAGTGCCGCGCTCTAAAACTGAATGGTACTTTCTTTTTTAAAATTGATACTACTGCTCTCCGCTCGTCATTGGTTTCTGGTATTGTACCAGTATCTTTGTACCTGCATCGTACCGGTGCAGTATGTATCAAAAAGCTTTACTGTACTGTACCGGTGGTACTACGTTTGTTTAGTTGTGCTTCGCTTTGCCCGAACTCTCATTCTTCTTTTGGAGTTGGAGGCCCTCGTTCCTGGTTTCCGTTCAATTTTTCAAATTAAGAAAAGCGGAGGAAATAGATCCTGTTCCTTCCCATCATTTAAGAAACTCTTTTCGAATATGTCCCGCGATAAATCGAAAGCGAACTGTTTCTCTGGTGGCAAAAATGCGACATTCTCACTGCTAATAGAATTGAAACCACAATTTCACTGAAGATAGTTTTGAAACATTAAAAAACAAGAAACGAGATGATGACGATCGATGCAATGAACACTTCACAATCAGAGGTCCGAATAAGAGCACAGCATTATGAAATCAAGTCAATACTGTTTACGAGCCATCGCTCAGCAAGAAGCGGGAGGATCGTCAAGAGGGAAGAGGAAGATCCTCCTGCTCAAACTACCATAAAAGATTTCTCGGACAGTGAACGATCCAACGGAAGCCAACACAGAGTCAGTTTTGAAACACACTTCAGTTCAAGGTGGTCCAATGGATCTGCAAGGGTGGAGCAACCACTAGCTCCATATCTACGCCGATGAACATGGTTTTGAAACGGGGAATGATTGGTTGGGATGATTGTATTTTTTTATTAAATAAACAATGATGTGATAGCAAATTTTAGCAACAAACAAGCAAAGATATACTTTCATTAGTAGGAACACTCCCGCAAACCATATGTCATAGTGGTAGTAGCGTCCTGCTGCAGTCACAAAACAGTCAAGGAGGCCTAGTATCATTGTGATGAGACCCAAGGAGGGTGGTGCCGCAGCCATGTGGACGTAACTTCGATTAGTCAGCCTACTCCAAAACGCAATGGTCCAAAGGAGACGGGGTATCTCGTTGCTCGGGTTACGTTCATTGAGTTGGAGGTAATAATAGCTTCAGCACGAATGCAACTATCGATCCTTTGCAAACGGCGAGGCTGAACAACGCCAGCAGAGCCAGCTTCGAAAATCACGCTCTGGACAACCCTTTCGCCTCGGGAAGCTTTCGTTGGGTGGCAAAGGGTGTATACACCGAAGGAAACCGTGCTGGTGAAGCATGTGTATGCAAATGGTTCATAACTGGAGGGGTGATGGAATCTCACTTCTACGACACAGACATTGCAGCCTCGAAAGAAGCAATCTTCCTGATTACCAAGTTCAATTCAAAAGGATGCATTAATAAAATTGTCAAAGTCAACCTTCCCGAGGTATGGACCTTCAATCAATGCACCCGACAAGATTTCGCTGGGCGTAAAGTTCTACAGGAGCCTTTCATTACCAATTATCAAAAGTTCAACTCCAACACTGGTTGGGCGGACGACAGTCTCCCTTGGCATAGGGTGATCTAAGCTTTCTCGCACTTTACTTACCACATTTCGAATGGACAGAAGCTTTTCTGTGATCTACAAGGTGGCGTTTACACTGACGGAGTGACACAAAAATCAAAATGTGCATCGCAACACGCAGGAATGCTGTGAATGGAAACATTGGGTTGTTATGTGGATGATAACGGATGTTGGAATCTCCCTAGAAGTAAAATCTATTGGTCTTGCAATTGTGAGCTAAATTATTCCTTACTCTATTTTCTAGTCTTGCTTCTCAGTCATGCACAGCATCTGGTATCTTGCCATGACTACATTCAACTCACTTCTTGCTTTGATCTTGTCAATACTTCTCACATTATTGTCAGGCACTGTTCAATCTTACACAAGATGACCCATTCTCCAATGCCTTGTTTCGTGTTTCTGTTCCTCATTCTCCAATCTCAAAATATCTCAAAATACATCTTCAACAAACGGAACGAGATACATTTGCGGGGTACAGTATGATTGCGATTTAGTTGGTATTATAATATTTGATACACTATCTAAGATAGCCTACTGCCGTCCTCCGTGTGTGTGTTCGTAGTATATTGTCTTGGTGTGTAGCTGGTGGGTTGTGGTGTGAAATCGAACAGAGTGCCTGCGGAGTAGATGGCTTCATTTATTCCCGTGTCCATGCATTCACGAATCAGACAGTCCGTGCGTGGACAGACCACATTGACGCGCCACGCGTGCAATGCAAATGGGTTGACGATCGAGTTTTTTTCACAGCGTTATTTTTAAAAACCTTTTGATAAGACAATGGCGATAGCAATGACTAGTAGTACAGCCATGGTGCGAAACCAACAATGCGACCATGAAGAACAAAATCCATGATATGCTAGGCACCAATACTTCTTTCACCATTAACCGTGAAGACGGAAGAGCAAATCGGTTTGGAACACACGTTGCCGTTGAGCCGAAACCGTGGAAAAAAACTATGCTCACAACTTTCGATTCAGTTTGAAACGGTTGTCGACACTAGAGTTTCTACTGAGCTTGGTACATCTTTCCAAAGTCGAGACGTTTCTTGCTTCAGCAGAGCAACTTCATTTCACAACAGAATCTGCTCATATTTTTGACATTCGATCAAATTGCATCGACTCAGTCCTTTCAAAGAACAACAACAACAACAACAACAAACAAAACAAAACAAAACACTTTCCACCATGTTGTCTCTTCGATCCATCATCATGATCTTTCTTCTTTTGGCCATGCAGCCAATGGCCATGCCTTCCTTGATGAGTGCAAACTACACTCGTCCATCCATTCAAGTCTACAGTTTGGCAAACGAAGACATTGTTTCCACTGTTGACTTTGTTGGAACCACCGTGGAAATGGAATCCACTGGTGTTCCTTCTTTCTCCCTTGCGGAGTTTATCATGTCTATTGACTACGAATCGGTCAAGGCTTTCGCACAAGACTTCAGCAAGAAGTACGAAGCCTTCGCCGAAGCATTCACTGATGCCATGTCTGCCATCTTCGAGTTCTTCAGTATGGAGTACAACGCATACAAGCAATCGATCAACTACGAATCGATCAAGGCTTTCGCACAAGACTTCATCGAGAAGTACGAAGCCTTCATTCAAGCATTCACTAATGCCATGTCTGCCATCTTCGAGCACGAAGCATTCCACCAACCCATTGACTACGAGTCCGTCATGTCTTCCACAGAAGCATACATTCAAGAAGTGTCTACTGCCATGTTTTCCAAGATCGAACTCTTCATCCCGAAGTTCGAAGCATACAACCAAGAGTTCCAAGTCGAGTACCAACGAATCTACAAGAAGCTAGAAAATGTTGCCACTGACCTGCTTGTTGCTGAAGCTTCAGCTTCAGCTTGGCCAAGCTTACTTGACCCTGAATTCATTGTCAGAGATATTTTCGACGGAGTGGAATCCTACACCACCAAGGACCCATTCGCCCCAACACCAGTTCCACCGTTGCTATCCCTTGAGGACGCTCAAGCGATTGCAGCAATGGACGTAGTTTTGGACTCATCGACAACTTTTGGTGGCATGGTCATTGCCCTACTCCTCGTCGCCACTGTGACTACTGTCATTTTTGCCGGCAGTGTCATCGATCAAGGGCTCGTCTCCATGGAAGATTTATCCATTGTCTTGGAGACACCCTGTTTGTCCATGACTGATTTGAGAAAGAAAATGACACCATCGGTCATACTCTGTTCTGCGGATGCTTATGCTAGGTATCAAGCCAGTTGCGACAAGTCCAAGGACCCTTCCATCGTTGACCTTTGCAACCTATTCGCCAACATTTCCTTCCGGAAGGATACTACGGATCCTTCTAAAAAAGAGAGCTTTTGAAAACAAAACAAAAAAAGAGCGACTCATGATATGTTCATCTACCTCTACCGTTTGACCCTCCTGCAACATCAAGGCCAATAACTCGATCTTTGGGAGTTCGGCCTACAGGGGTACTGCTGCAGCAAAACATTGCAGTATGTGGTCGCGTAAGTTAAGGAGGACATATATCAATGAAATCATGGGTGAAAAATGAGAGGAAGATACTGTAGGATGGATGGATGGATGGATGGATCAGTGCTCGAAATAATACTAGTCATGACGACGACACTCAAAAAGTCGTGCAATGGGAACAATAAGTTCGAAGATGAACTATAAAATTTAAAAAATATATAGTAGCAATGGATGCAAAATAAAACATCAGCCAATCCTATTTGTATACTAGTATATAATAGTAATGTTTGCGAAAGTTTGCAATGCCCACGAGGATGGTGGCTTTTGATCAGCAGCAGAAGATCTGATGCCAATAATGCGTATTCCAAAAGTCTTAAAAAATATAATATAATATAATATACAGGTGGAAGTTTGCCATGATGATTATAGCACCCATTTGTGTCATAAAACCTTGGATAAAACTGCAATCAGACAATAAGGCTTCTTGCCGAACTATCGGCGCAGACGGTCCATCAACGAAAGGTCAAATCACTGCCCCGAAGTATGACAAAATACACCATAACAGAGAGCCAAAATGGTGACATGGAATCAATCAATCAATCATCCCAACAGGCACCATCATGCATGTTGCTGGGCTGCCTACCTATACAGTCGGTATTTTGAAATCTTTTGGGTCACAGTAGATCCGCGTCTCATCATATAATATATATATACGGCTCAAATGGAGAACATTCAATTGCTTCCGTCTGATTATAAAAGCGTGCAGAGGCAAACCATACAGTATGGTTCCTCTACAGGCATACCGTATAGTGAATCCGACTTGTTGTTTGTGAAATATATTGCACGGCAGAAAAGATACTGCGATAAAATAATAGTATTTATTTGTGCTTCAAAAAACAGATAACGCGATGCATATTATTAGGCTGGTTGATTGGATAGTGACAAATATAACGTTCGTTGAACGCTGCAGATATCAGAAGATAACGCGCATTCGACGCACTTGCTCAGATTATTGTCGTGACACAATAAAACATTGTTGTCATTGTTGTTGATCATCTTTGAAACTATCATTCTGCATCATCGCATCGTACTGTGACGGAGCTACAAACTTGCAAACGCCGTGGCCTTGCTGAATATACTCTAATACGTTTATTCAATACTCGCAATTGAAATACATCCGGTTGTACAAGTAGTGAGGATGATACAACGGAAGCTGTGTGACTTTTTTTGAAGTGGCTCATTATTATTGAATGAATGGTTGATTATTCATTCATTCTATACGATCATATTCTTTCAAATCTAATTACTAGAGTTCCAAACGACAAGTGACGGTGCCCTCTTTTTAATATTTATGAGCTAAAAGTCAATTCAGACTTTTCATCAATAATATATGACGATTCGAAGAGTGAAGAAACGGGCAGGAGTAGGTCGCATCCAAAAGAAATCGTACTACCTACCAAAGAAACTGATATTTGGCCTCTTGGTGCTGCTTGTAATGATTTCTCAGCAGCAATACTATAATTCACAACTTGGAAGTTCTCCGGATTCAACAGAGAACAAGAACTATTTGCTGCAGAAAGAAGCTGTCCATCGTTTGTTGGAGCAAATGTCATCAGGAGGTGCTGCTGCGAAACACCACAAGACGATTCGAATCTGGGGCTGCAATCTCACGGAAAGTCCTCTGGTGTTTGTTCACATTGGCAAGTCGGGTGGTGGAACGATACGTGCCAGATTTGCAGCCGCAGCGTGGAATTTTACCCGCGAGAAATGGTGGAATTTCAATGGCGACCATCACTATTATCCAATGCCAACCAAACGGCGACGTTATAATTATTGGAACGACGACGATGACGCGGTGAGTCGAGATGATGACTCCAAGGTTTCAAGAGGCACATTTTGCAGCAGCAACAACAACAACCGCCGACGGATTTTTAGCGAGGACGGCCGTCAGCAGCTCCAGAGATATGCACGAGAGGCTTTTGAGAAAGTTTTAGAATGCAATGCCCGGACACCATTGGGGAAATTTGTTGGCTGTCCTGCTGTCTTTAGAACGAATCAAGCGTGCAAAGGCTGCTCCAATCTATCGGATGCCGGGTGCTATGCCGTCTACGCTGGTCACAATCCAATCGGCAACGAACTGCATTGGCTGTCGGCTCCTTTCCTCCAGGACTGGTGGAATGAGAAGTGGGCGTTACTCTTCCCCCCCAAGACTGTCACATCTGTGCAGTCCATTATGCCTGGGACAACAAACCCGTACTGGTGCCCACAGGTCAACAGAACAAGGAGCGACAAAACCACAATTCCAATGGCAAGACGACCCGTGCACGAGCAGTACTATGCTTGTTCCAAAAAGGTTTCACATGAAATGGATCAAGCATTTATTCCTGCTTGGCACGAAATCGCAACCAAGTTTGGAATGGAAAAGAACTATGCTCCATTCTATGCATCCTTGCCAATGCATCGCACTGTATTGCTGAGAGAACCATTCTCTTGGCTATTGTCGCGATTCTTTTGGGCATTGGAATACCGATCGAATTTCAAATGCGATGACATTGAAACTGCCACCAAGCATCACACAAACTTGACTTTTGCTCAATCAGGCTGGGCCTACCAGGTCGTCCTCGAGGCCTTGTTTGCCTTGTGTGGCGAAGATTGCATCAATCGATACGAAATAAATAACATTGATCTAATGGAAATTGAGCAGCAGGCAGAATCGAACCTAAGGCATTCTTTCTCCGTGGTTGGGTTATTGAATGAAACAAATTCCTTTTATGACATGGTGTCTGCGTAAGTATTTTTTGCATGTATTTTTGTTTTGTTGTTGCTTAGTCTTGTTGTGTCGCAGGAATAATACCTAACCCTACATTGTACTATTGTGCTATCCACCATCTCATTCTGCTCACTGGCTTTACGACAACATATAGTCGAATCCAATACAGCAACATGTCGAACAATCCACATGTCATTGGACCCACACATGCAACGATGAAAACTGCCGAACAGCGTCGATGCACCCATAAGTTCCTTACCAACGAGACGATACGCACCTCCCTTCGGGCGGCTCTACCGCATTTTGAAGCATTGGAACGGCTTTACCAAGTTGGCGTGGAGGTGAATCGGTTTCAGACTAGGGAATTGAACCAATGCACGAATGCTCCAATGCATGGGTGAAAATCATCATTGACCACAAATGCAGCATCGATGGGTCCGCGACAAAGACAAATTCCCAATAGCTTTGGACAGCTTGATCTCGTTGGACCCGCAATAATGCAACTTGAGAAGTGGACCCTTTCACAATAATGGATCATGTCAGCTTGCGAAATATTCTGAATCAATCGACCGGAGTATACGGTGCATTGTCGGGCTCAAATTGCGGTTCCAAAAAATTCTCCAGGTCGTTCAAAAGTAGGAACACTACGTTGTTCCGCTACGAGATATGTATGCTCCTCCGGCTTAACTAATATTTGGCCTAGAATCCATGTGTGTTATCTTCCATTTCTAGCTACCAGTAATTATAAATCGTCAAACCATTTTCGTCCTACTTACTACAAAAGTATGGTACACTAAAGTAGGTACATAGGACCTACCGGTATTATACACGTACATGTACAGCAAGTCAATCAAGTACCATTCGGAGGAAACGTTGGAAGAAATATACCGGTATGTTTGATTTCCCCAAATGTAGTTTGAAACCGCCCACGCGCCCACGCGTACGTGTATATAATTATTGTCATCGCATACATAGGTACACTTTTATTATTCTTTGCATCGCATTGCATCATCGCGTCATCATACATTAAAATTCCTGCAAGTTGTGACGAATAATGTTCCGGTATCAACCACCATAGTACAACTCTGTCGATTGAATCACCCGGATCACAATGACAACTTCTGAAGTAGCCCGCTTTTCGAGCAATGGCGCAATCGGCACGCACAACCAAACCGACCAAAAGATTCATGATTCAAAACCATCGTCTTCATCCTTCAAGACAGATGCGCTGCTGTCATTTGCCCAAGTTCAAGAGTCTCTCGCCAATGATAGAGGCTTGAAGCGAAACAAGAATGTGCAGGAACTAACCATAAACAAGCTGAAATATCATTCCGTTGGACTGGTAGGCCGTGAAGAGGAAATCCAACAGTTGCAAGATTCAATTTCGAGAGTATCTAAGGAGGACGAGAGCCGAAGAAAGGAGATTGTACTTGTCAAAGGATACTCTGGTTCTGGGAAGTCTGCCCTCGTCAATAGGGCAGAACAGTTTCTTCAATCCAAAAGCAACGTGGTGTTTGCGAAAGGGAAGTATGATCAGCACAATCGAGATGTACCATATGCAGGTCTTTCTTCAGCTTTTGGTGAAGCCTGTCGTACACTAAGACCAAGACTTACGACAGAGGAGACTGATGTAATTGGGGAGAAGATAGTATCGGGTCTAGGTTCGGAAGCCTCATTGTTGCAACAGATTATACCGGATGTCAATGAAATTTTGCCCCTGAATAAGAGAAGGACCAGCGACATCATTGATCCTTCCAACTTTGGAGCAATGCTGGAAAGGTTGAAGTACTCCTTTCGAACACTAGTTCGGATATTGTCTTCTTACTTCTCTCCCCTAGTCCTTGTTCTCGATGATTTGCAGTGGAGTGATGTCGGATCTCTAAAGATGCTTCTTTATCTCATGACAGATACCAAGAACACAAGCCCCTTGGTCATTATTGGCAGCTATCGCTCAAATGAGGTTGATAGAACACACTTTCTTTCATCGGTGGTTGATGATATGCGGAGAGTACAAGAGAGCTGCAATATGCGAGTATCAAACATCGAACTCGATAACCTTGGCCTTGTGGGCGTAAACAAGGTCGTCGTGTCACTACTAGATATGGACGAAGACAAGCACACTCGTGAGCTCGCTAACCTATGTTTCAAGAGGACTAATGGAAATCCATATTTTCTGCTTCAGTTCCTCAGCATGTTGGAGGAGGAGGAATGGCTTTCGTTCAACTTGGGAACCTTCAAATGGACGTTTTCCACGGAACTGATTGAGGATAAAACTGTTGCAACTGCAAATGTAGTCGACTTGCTGCGTCATCGAATGGCGAAAGTGAGTGACAAATTGCAACTCCTTCTACAGTATGCAGCTTGCTTGGGAGCAACATTTCGCATCCACACGCTCGAAATTGTGTGGAGATTTCACTCTTCGAATCTATTTCCAGACAAAGAAGACGATTCAGTGGCGGAGATGCTCCTACTACTCGAGAGTGAAAAGTTCATCGAAACTCATGAGTCAGAACCCTATCGCTGGGTTCACGATAAAGTCCAAGAGGCTTCGATGTCTCTAGGCAAGGCCAGTCAGTCTACGTTTCAATACGAAATTGGAACTGTGCTTTTTGAAAAGCTGAGTCCAGAAGATCTGGATATGGTTTTATTCAATGTCACAGATCTTCTCAACAGTGGACCTCGATACGACAAAGCTGTCCCTACAGATCTGAATCTGTATGCCGATTTGAATCTCCGAGCTGCTAGGAAGGCTCGGAGTTTATATGGTGCCTTTGAAGGTGCGGCGAGGTATGTTCGCAACGGGATCTCATTTCTTCCGAAAGAGTCATGTTGGTCTATGAGTCGGGAAACGACACTACAGTTGTACACACTCGGAGCAGAAGTTGAACTGGCTCTTGGCAACATCGAGGCAATGGAGACGTACAGCAAAGAAGTGCTTTCAAATGAAGAATGTACCACAATGGAAAAGTTCCCTCTGTACGTGGTGGAACTATTCAAACTGTCCACCATTGATCAAAATCGCAGTGAGACGCATCGGTTCAGCTTATCGATTTTGAAGGAACTGATGGGTCATCGGTTTGTGGCGTTCCAATCCACTGCACCTTTGCAAGCAGTGCTCACATTAAAGAAAGTAATCAAACTTGCGAAGGCGAAAACAACAGAACAGTACGAAGAACTTCAAAAAATGAGTGATTCTCGTCACGAGGCTATTATGAAGGCATTACACCGCTTTGTGACAAACTGCTTCCTATCAAAGCGGAAATTTCTTTTTGTTCTTGGAGCTTGTCGCATGATTACGATGACTTTGGATCATGGTTTATCCGAGTACGCGGGGACCGCCTTTACGGTCCTGGGCCAAATGACTGTCCGTACTGATCCCAAAACGGCATCATACTTTGGAGAAATAGCGTTGCTTCTTCAGCAGAGGATTCGGCCGAGATTCTCAGAGGCCAATACTGTGTATTTTGTTGTTTCGTTTGTCTTTCCATGGACAAAGCAATTGCATCATTGCATGTCATATTCGACTGCAGGGATAATGCCCGGGCTCCAGACTGGAAATTTGGAGTTTAGCTCTTGGAATCTCCTCTTGTTCAATAATCAGATACCGTACCAGATGGGCAAGTGCATTTCTTCGATATTGAAACACTGCGAAATAGACCTTGCGCAGATGAAGGAAATGAAACAAGACGAGCAGATCACAATCTATCGGCTACACCACCAGTTGCTCTTGAACTTGACCGGATTGTCAGGTTCAACAAAGAGCCATAAGGGTTCGGTTTTCGATCGCGACACCTTTGTTCCAAGAACTCCCCTGCAGTGTGCCGTTTGTGATATTCTCCAATTGGACCTCTTTCTTTTCTTTGGTGACCTGGAACAAGCAGCCGATCTGGCCGTCCGAATTGAAGGGAATTTTCGACGCACCTCGCCAAACTATTTTGTGGAAATGTTTGAAACATTTCATTGTGCAGTAGCTCTGTATGGAATGGCTAGAAAGACAAAGAAGCGAAAATACAAAAGACTTGCGATTAAGCTTCGGCATCGGATCACAAAATGGCTGCATCGGGGAAATCCCAACGTGCACCACTATGTTTTATTTCTACAGGCAGAGCAAGCAGCAGTAGATGGCAATACGGATACTGCGAATAAAGGCTTCCAAGAAGCAGTAAGACTTGCTGGAAGGACTGGCCATTTGCATCACGCGGCATTGTTCAACGAACGGTATTCTGATTTTCTTCGTCACAATATGAAGGATGGAGAGAACGCGGCATTTCGAATGCAAGAAGCCATTCGATTTTATGGAGAATGGGGTGCAGACGGAGTAGTCAGAGCTCTATCAGCACGGCATTCGTAAGGCGTCATCTGGCAGAATCTCATCCCACACCGATCGCGGTTTCTCTTCGATCGGATCGGAGCTGCATTGTTCCAACTCTTGTTGTTGAAAACGATTGACCTCAACCCCAATGTTGTAGAGCCGTTCAAGAGCGCTCAAATATGGAGAGGCGTCTCTCATTGCCTGCCGAAAGGTTTCATTTTTGGTATACAGCTTGGAGCATCGACCATGTTCCCTCATGTTCCAAATGGCAGACGTATGTCTATCTCCCCGAACCAGTGGATTAAGTGACATATTGACGTACTGTATTCTTGCAGTCACCATGTCGTAGAAGGATTTCGTTTCATTCAATAAACCGACAACTGAAAATGAGTGGCGTAGATTGGCTTCGGCCTGATCCTCAATATCTTGCAGTTTCATTTCTCCTTTTTCATATCGATTCATACACTCTTCACCACATAAATAGAATAGATGTTCCAGCGCCATTTGATAAATCCATCCATTGTCGGCTAGAGCGATAGATTTCGGATCCAAGAAGGTGGCATTGGGCAAGTCATCGCATTTGTAGCTATCGCGGTAAGGAGAAGTCCAAAAAAACCGAGAGAGGAGCCAGGAAAAAGGCTCCCGGAGCAAAACCGTTCGATGCACCGGTAGGGATGCATAGAAGGGAGCATAGTTGCTATGAGTAAAATTGTACTCTTCCCATGCAGAGTGAAATAAGGTATCCATTCTTGTACTTATGACTCTTGTGCAAACACCGTGCAATCGTTTCACTCGTGGTCCACCAAGTACATCCCTCCGTCGGATACTTCTCGTTCTGTTGCGCAAAGGGCACCAAATGGGGTCTCGAGTACCGACAGTGATGGATTGCATACCCCTGTCGAATTCCGAATTGTCAAAGAAAGGAGACCAATGTTGCATCCACCATTTCTGAAGCATGGGTGCTGGCAACCAATGAACCTCGTTGCCAAGGAAGTTGTGGCCGACGTAGACCGTTGAGCATTCTGGTGCGTTCATATCTTTGCAACCCTCACAGTTGTCATCCTTGAACCAAAAGCTAGGGCATCCCACCGAACGACCAATGGGTGTCGTAGCTTGACAATCATGGAGTCCCTCATACCCTTGTTGGTGGAATGACCTCATTTCGGCCATTCTAAAATGCCGATTCTTGCTATTGCAAAACCTTCCATGCCGGATTCGCAGCGTTCCGTTGGAAAAGCTGGAAAGAATTGGATATACATGTTGATCGAGATTCGGATACCTCCATTCCGTTGCCAATCGAGTATATTTTCTTGCCGAGGCTGCAAACCTAGCTCGAATCGTACCGCCTCCCGATTTGCCAATATGCACAAATATTAACGGAGCTTCTGTTTGATGACATCCCCATCTTCGTATCGTTTTGAGGCTGGAATACTGATCCAGTATTTGCCTAATCTTCCTGGCCATACAGGTGGTGTTTCTTCTGTTGTTGCCAATGGTACCATACCCGACTGACTCTGCGAGCTCCATCGGGATGAACATCCCTATGTCGAATCCAAAATGCAGCGAAACCATCACCATTACAGCTAGTCCAACTGCAGCTGTTCGCATCGAACCCTTTGGCTTGTTTGAATTCTTCATAATGTTATTCTTATTATTACTTGTGTCTTATTTTTTTGTTTGCTTCTATTGAATAATAATTTCATCAGGGATTGATTCTGCCAAGTTTGATGAGTTTAAATGTGAAAGACGCTGATCAAGCTGAAGGTGGAGAAAGAGAATGTACAGTAGTTTGAGGTAGCTTAGGGTGTCATGCAGGGTCACACCGCGTCATTGCCACAATAACAACAAGATTTTGTTCTGGATGCCTGACGATGCGACTTGTTCGACTACAGAACGCATGCCAAACGTAGTGTTCCCATCTTTTATGATCGATCACTTCGACCACCCGAAAATGACCACCCAATAACGACCACCTTGACTGCTCCCAAAAATACAGTACTCGATCGCAAGCCCATACCGGTAGTAGCATTCCTAACCTTATATTTGTCCTAACCTACCTATTCTGCTTCCCATACCTATGGTAATGACACCCGCCTTATTTTTCCATGAAATCTGAGGCCTGCATGGAGGGTTTTCTTGATGAGAAATCGATAAGAATATGACTGATGCCTCCTCGAACACCACCACCAACAATAAGAAACGAGGAACAAGATGTCAGAAGATTGCGATCACGGGTTTTGGTATTGCCCTTCTCCTTCTTCAAATCTTGGATTACAAGAAATCTTTCCAGCCCACTCAAGTCCATCTGAAAAACCAACGAGGTATACGTATGGATACTGTCCAGTCTTCAATTTCAATCATATCTCAGCGAACATCGTATCAATCAACGCAGCTGGACGATGAACCAACTCGATGTTGGAGACACTGTCCGAAACGAATCAACAAGATCTACTTTGAGCATAGTTGGGCTGGACTTGGTGATCGATCGGTTGTCTTGCATATGCTAGGCAACTTGGCAGGATATCTATGTGCCATTGTCGAGTTGCCTCCTCCATCGATATTGCTGAATCCAATTCACAACGGAGGCAAAAAGCTGCACAAGCGAGTCGAATGGAAGGACTTTTTCAACTTTACCTTCCTCCAAGATGGATCTCAAGTCGTCTATGAAGCAAAAGATAATCCCAAGTTTACCCAAAAAGTCAACAAGAACTGGCGTCAACCGGGACTCTACAAGCCCAAAAGATACCCTGGATGGCAATTTGTGGTGACCAAATCAAAAGCAGGCAGCATCATTAACGATTACCGACGTGCTCAAGATATATCATGGCGACAGGGAAACAATACCAATAAAGGGTTCATTTGGGAGATTCATCGAGTCATCTATGGTTCTCGTCTACTCAAGAAGGCTCCATTGCCAGAACCGAGCAACGAAGTGCGAACGAAACTGCAAGAACACGCATACAATGGATCGATGCGCCCCTTCATGAAGTCATGGAAAGGCAATCAGAAAGAAGAAGCCCAGTCCTGCAATTATGTCATTCGAAATGAACCGGATGATTTACTGATGCTCCAAAAAGAACTTCAGAATCGAGTCCGGTCCATGGCACCGTCCAATACGAGTGTATTTGGGTTCTTGCATGTCCGGCGAAACGATGCCAAGAAGGCTTGCAATACGGACATTCCAAATCTGAGTAAGTTCTTTCAATGTTCTCTCAATGGAACCGAAGCAACTGGTAGGCATATTACATTCCTTCTCGGGAGTGATGAAAAGAGTGAGACCTATCGTCACGATGTCATCGATATGACGAACGATTATTCGCATGTGTCCATGCTAGATGCGGACAAGCTGGTCACTGATTTTATGCAAGACATGATTCGGAACAACAAAATGCCATCGTGGCGAATGAACAACTTTTATCAATTCGAACTGATGAAAGCTCTTGGGTTGGACGGACGCAGCTTCTCATCCGTCTACTTGGTCCAGCGGCGAAACAGTCACTGCCCGCGATGTTCCAAACTATTGACAGAGTTTCCAACAGCGTGGGCATAACATACGGTATGAAAACAACTGAAAAAATAATGGAGCATACAGTAGATTGCACAGGGTAGGACATGTTTTTTTTGTCACAACTTTAGTTCTCAGTTGTAGATAATGTGTGTCGTAATAAAATAGTGTAAGTTATTTTTTTAAAGTATACATGATGGTCACTCCATGCCCTTTCATGTGCCTCAAATGTTGTCCCAGTAGCGTCGCGTTGACGAGTCCCGTCCCGTTCCCTATGATAGTGGATGTCTACGATAGTGGATGTCTTGCACCAGCAAAATCTTGGCTTTCTCCTGCTTCCCGCAGCCATTCTTTGACCTCTTCCATAGATTTTTGGTTGGCAAGGTCATCCAATCTACTCAACACTTTTCCCTTGTATACGTGGATAAGGGTTGACAGTTCCGGATTGATGCCGAGCTTGGATGTGAAGAGTGGCGCCATTTGCGAGCTCATCCTGTAGAGTTCGAACTCCTTGGAGGCTGAGTTGACCAAGACTTGCGTGAGTTGGTCTTCGTAGTCAAAGTACTCAAGACAGTCATCGCTGAAGAAATGAATAACATAGTTTGTCTCGGAGAGAGTATCCATTAAGACTTGTGTGATGAATGTGTTTTGGTCAATCGTTTCAAAATCGCATTCTTCGTCGAAATCCAGCTGTGAAGCATCCAACGATCCTTGAATGGAAGAGCAGGCAACGGACTCCTCCCAGGCGAAGGAAGAAGACAGCGAATGATCATCTTCACTTTCAAGATTGAGTGATTTGGTTCCACTTATGCTTGTGGAAAGCGAGTCTTTGGTTGATGATGCTGTACCAACTGACTTCTTGTTCTTCTTGGTTCCGTTCTTTTTTCGGCTAGCAAACATCTTCTTGGCTTTCTTTTCAACATGTTTTTCAAGGCGAATGATTTGGTGTACAATAGATTGGGGTTTGGATTCAGCGCTGCAAGTGCTTTGGATGCTGTGATAGCTGGTATCCAACATGGCTCTGGTGTTGTATATTGATGAGAATAGTTTGCTCAGGGAAAAAATGTGAAGTTTGTAACCTTTTTTGGCACCACTTGGGAACGTTGACATTTGTGAAACTTCAATGATAGATGGATGGAAGACTTGAATGACTGTCGTTAAATGAAATCGGGTACAGATTCTTAAGGTTTTGTATCAGTCGAATGTAATCGAATTCGGTTTCTTAAGGTGATGCTGATATAGCCTGACATGGCCCAGTCACAGTTGTCGCGGATATGCGACTTTCATTTTCATTTATGGTATCTGGCAAGAATACATATGGCAACGTAATTTCAGTTCCTTGCCAAATCGGAGAACTTGATATCTGTATGGATTGAATGCGAATTCGGTGCCGTTCCGCAAGGAGAAGAAGAGTCCGCGAAAGGTAGATTCGATGACGTTGATAGAAATGTGTGGTTTGCGGTCCTCCTCGAGTGCTCATTGCTCATTGCACCCTCGTTTGCGATCAACAGGAAGGTGTTGGAAAGGAATGTTATATAACGGAAACAACTTGCTTCGCGTGAAAAACTAAGCTTCTGATTTGTTGAGCCCCAAATTGATGAAAATATTGTTGAAACACACATTATGATCCAAGAAGAAGAAGGTGCGAGCGCGGTGCAATGCACGTTGCGATTGATTTCTGGTACCAGGTACTATCGGTACCGTAGTAGTGGCATGCATCCCCATCTCCGACAGGGATGTGATTCGTCGTCATACCATGTGTCGGAATTCGCTTTTTTATCCCATATATATATACCTACAGTTCGTACCGATACGAGTACCGGTGTACCTTAGCGATGCGAGCGCGATAGCGATTTAGTGAATCGTATTATGACTAGTCGGACTACATACTGCCTTCGTACGATATACTGTACCACTGTTTTGGAACCACACGATTGGTTTCAAACGAAGCTCATTCGTACCTACAGAATTGCATCACAAAACGATCAAGTCATCCTCATATTGTAGTATTGTAATAACAGCTTCTTTCTCCTGTTCTGCATTGCATTTTACATCGATGATTTGACCTCACCTTAGATGAAAGTAGAACCAGCTAGAACTATTCAATATTTTTTAAAATAGCATTGCTGAGAAATTATAATATTACATACAGCTCCTGGGCGTGAAAATGAATCTAAAGTGTGTTTGTTGACACGGTTCTTTTGCACGTAGTAACAGGTTGAAAGGACGCAAAATCGTCCTTTTGTTTTGTTTCCTTGATCCATTCTTCTAGGTTTGAAGCGCAATGTTCGAATGACATGAATGATATCCTTCCGATCAATTGTCCATTTTTGAATCGAAGTAGTGTGGATTCTTCTTTGCTGATGCCAAGTTTCTTGGTGAAGTATGGTGCCATTTGAGAATCAATGTGATAGAGAACAAACTTGTTTTTGGGTGCATCTCTCAACACCTCCACGAGGTGTTCTTCGACATCGTAGGAAAGTTGCAACTCTTCATTGCAAAAGTGGACAACGCAATCCATATCGCTGCAGTTGTCAATAAGGACATTGTCAACGAACTCGTTTTGGTTAACAATCTCGAATTCGTGTTGTGGTTGTTCTCGTAGATCACCGGAATGGGAGGATGAGGAAAACAGGTCAGAGTCTTCACTTCTTGTAGATTTGGTGAGTGAAGATGAAGCAGAGCTTCGTCGCTGCTCTCTTCTTGTCAAGCTGCTCTTCCTCTTTGGGATTTCCACTTTGCTTCCAGCACGAATCATGCGATGGAAAATGGATTGGGGTTTCACTGGTATGATGGTCATGTTTGAATTTGCTCGATGTTAGGACGACGATTGTTTTTATGAGACTTCCATGGGATTCACAATAAAAGTATCATGAGGACAGAGAGTTGCTGCGTTGGTCGAGTCAAAAGCCGCCCATGATGTGGTGGAAACGAAAAGTGGTGTCAAAACAGATTGCAGAATATCTTCGATCAAATTACATAGGGAAACGTTACGTTTTCTTTAAATACTACTTTGTCTTGTCAGCACTTATAAGGCTTCGTCAAATCGAAATGCGACAGATTTTTCATACTGAGTCACTTAGATCCCTTACATTTAAACGTGTCTCTTTGTGGCTCTTACTCGATTTGCTATGTGGAACGTGATGATCAATGAAAGCAGATTGTAGAATTTTGTTGGAATCGTAGTTTGACATCGGGAGATTCTGATCTTTCATTTAGAGAAATATTGTTCAATAAGTAGCATGAGATTCGTCATATGAAAATGCGACAGAGTATGATACTTTTGTTGCTGACTCAATCACTTTGATGAACGCGTGTTTGGGATCGCAGACAATTTGACATGTGGAACGTGATGGAAGTACAATCTAAAAACCTGTGATCCCAGAGCGGTTTTGGTGGGCGGGCCGAAATACCTCCACGCGTCACAAAAACAACTCACCTTTTGATGACTCAGCAGGATGATTCATTCATTCATTCGGAGGACGAAATGTCTGATCTAAAAGAAAAAACGCGTGTAATGTACCGCAGTGTACCAAGAGTATAAAAGCTTTTTTTTCGCACGTTTTCAACAGTATTTTGCAGCACACGTATACCACGGCTCATTCTGAGGGCGTCTTTCCAGTCCCAGAAGATAAATCTAATTACAAGCGTTGGTAAAGCGCTTATTTTTAGAGAGCTTTTGTATTCGAGAATCTTGGTTGTCCACCCATTTGGCCTAATTGTCAGCTCATCTACCATTAAAAACCGCTCGTGTGCAGTCGTTTGTCACTCAACGTCATTCGATCCTTATCCTCATCACAATTTCCAACGCATTGAGGCCGAACGTGCTTTCGAATCAGGAGAAAGCCACAATTTTCATTTCATATCAATTCAAACGCTCGTTCAAGTAACTACACCCCAACCATGTCATCTCCACTCCATCTCTACTTTGAAAACTTGAAGCAACAGCACCAATTCCTCGACATTGTTGTTGTCGAGGACAGATCCCCCTCCAGCAGGCCATCGCGAAGGAAGGTTTCAATGTCAAGAATGATGGACATCATTGGAGGTGAACAATCTCAGCCACCAGTGACTGATACTGAAGAAACGACAACTCAAGAATGGCAACCAAACGCAGCAACGAAGCCACATTTCGAAAACACAAAGTCCATTGTTCATCATCATGGCCCCATCAAACTCAAGTTTGTTGCCGCCTCAGCATAACAATCTGGACGAACAGCCGTCAACTTTGACCTATTCTATGCTGCTGCAAGATTGTCGTGAGGCTCTGAGGAGCGCAATGATCGCTTGGGTCTCATATTGAAACGTCGAGAACTACGACTTACGCGACGAGGATTCTTGGAGTCTAGTACCTTCGAATCCAAAGTCGAATCCAAAGACGAATCCTTCGCGACGAACAAGGGTATCATCATATTGGAAGAATGTACCTACGAAGGTCGTGCTCCCTTTGTTTGGGCAGCAAAGATTATTCGGCAAGATCAATGTCTGGTATGGATAGGTGTAATCAATCATAGACAAAACGTCGCGTCTTCCTCTATTCCCTTTACAATACAGCGGCAGTTTAGCTAGTAGTGGTGGTAGTTAGTGTCGGTACAAAGGCCAACAAGAAGGGGCGGAGGAGCAAGTACAGTATTAGGCCTTCTGCCAAAATTCCCACCATCTATAGTCACCATTAGTCCTAGTTCCATTCGTGTCTTCGATACAAAAGAAGACATATTTCATTGCTTCTAAAATGATAACATACTACTTCCCATAGACTACTTTCCACTTTCAAGCAAGTGAAATTCAAGGTGCTGTACACGGGGATTGCGCGGTTCAAAAAACTCACCTTTACGATGATGGACCTGAACAAGGCGGTCAGTCATTCATTCATTATTCATTCGTACCGCACCTTATCTGGCTTGTACATGTATCAGTGCGGACGAATAATAGTGCAACTTGCGACTGGCTCAGCCAAATTGTGGTAATTTGGATATCGGTGGCAAAGAATTACAATAAAAAACATCAAGACGGTTTTGTTCACGATGATTCATTAACTCGTTTTGCCGAATCCCGTTTTGAATAGCAGTCAGAGTATGGTTGGTCAGGAACACCCGCAACTCTGAACGGCTCGCGCACCTGCCAGTCACAGTCGGCCAGCACCAAGTTCTCAACAAAAAGGGGGAGCACGATTTTAAGGGGTGATACTTCTTCCTCGTAAAATAGAAGTGTTAGAATGGTCGAAAGCGCGTTAAATTGAAAAGCCCGTAAAACCTTAAAGTGACGTCCCGAATCCTTAAAATGACTTCCCATTTGTTAAATGTTACTTCCAATTGTTATCTCCATATTTAAAGTGACTTCCAATTGTTATTTCCAGACTTAATGTCACTTCCAATTGTTATTTCCAGACTTAATGTCACTTCGCTATTTCACGACTCAATTCCCAGTTTCAAATCGAATTATCTTGCAATCTTTCACCTTCGGCATTCTTGTCATCTTTGGGCACAATATCCCAACTTCAAGAATGGCAGAGGTGTTGGAGGACCCCCAGCCAAGAAACAATGATGACAATGCTGGTGTAGACGAATTGGACGAGGCACCAGTCAATCATGTGGTCACACCAGAGAGGATCCAGTATCTTGGATTGAAACTGGTGGGCTACAAACGCAAACGTTTACAGAAGTCAACGGCACGGGTGAACTTTGAGCGTTTCAAGGGATTTTTTGGTTTATCTCCTGTAACTGCTGCCGAGATTTACCACGACATGCAAACAACGGATATTGAAGAAGCCAAAGTAGAGGGCAGTCGAATTGATTTGAGGAATCTCTTGATTGCACTTCATTACTTGTTGAAGTATCCAACAGAAAGGTACGTACGTGGTGGCAATAGCTTTTTGCAGCGCCCCGTGTTACTGATTGAACTTATTGTCTCGTCACTAGGGACATGGAAGCTCGATTTGGCTTCAGCATGTACTGGTCAAGAAATTTGGCTTGGGAGTCGATCGAGAGACTTCGAGCCTTGAAACACGAGAAGATCAAGTGGGAGGAGGACTTGTGCACAGATGATATCTGGGTCCTGACGGTAGACGGCATTCACTGCTGGATACAGGAGCCAAAACATCCTGTCTGGAGTCAAAACAGGCGCTACTACAGCCACAAATATCACAAAGCTGGGTTGATGTATGAGCTTGGGATATGCCTGAGCACAGGTCGTTTGTTGTGGATGCGAGGACCCTACCCTGCAGGGACGTCTGACATTACGGTAGCCCGAACAGGAGGACTTGTCGAGGAACTCCGTCGTCGTGGACAAAAAGCAATTGGAGATCGAGGTTACAATGGGGAACAAAAACAAATTAGCACACCGAATGCTCATGACAACAAGGGGGTGTCGCTATTCAAAAGACGAGCTCTCATGCGTCAAGAGAATTTCAATGGAATGATCAAGCGATTCAATGTGACGAGTCATTGCTTTCGTCACAGTGAAGAACGCTTTGAGCTTGCGTTTGAAGCTGTTTGCGTTATTTGTCAATACAAAGTGGAGAACGAAACCCCACTCTACGACGTCTTGATTCAACAAGTGAAAGACCAATTTGAAACGAATTCTGTCACTAGCTAATAAGTCAACTAACTATTTTAAAAGTATTATATTAAATAATACCACGAATCGAGTGCTAAAGTATTACCGAAATTCTATTGCTCCTCTAATGTGACTCATCTGCTAGAAGCTCGGTTTATGCTCAAACAATATGTCATCAACTTGAAACTATTAAAATAGGATTTGAGTTTATTTTTTGTTCGGGAGAGTTTTTTTTATAAAAATGTAGCATTTTCAGCCTCAGCCGATTAAAAGGAGTGTCGCCTTAAAGTGATGTCCAATTGTGACGTCGCGCCTTAAAGTGATGTCCAATTGTGACGTCGCGCCTTAAAGTGATGTCCTATTGTGACGTCGCTCACTAAAGTGATGTCGATAATTGTTAAAGTGTGTCGCCGAACACAAAAGTTTCTCCGATTTTTATTTGTGAAAAAGGATTTGTCGTGTTTGATAAAATACGTTACCGCGAGAAGAGTGATATTCTCCCATCAAATAAAAGGGGGATTGCGGATGACGGGAGAACGCGGGCAAGTTGGTGCTGAGATGGCTGGCGCGCGAGCTTACAACAGTTGCGGGTGTTCCAGGTTCAGGATTCGTTTCCGAGCGGAAGGTGTTCGGTGTACGATAGGTTTGTTAGTCCGTTGGGGTTTTTTGTTTGTGAAAAACAGACAGGGCCTTGGTTTTCTTCTGGTCAGCAACGTTCTGGTCGTATGGTAACTTGGTCCTATACGTTCGAGTCAGTAAGTGTCTTCGTTAAATGAATTCCTCGTTCAGAAGAATTGCTGTTGAATCAGTGAAGTTAAAAATGTCGACATTGGGCCGAGTCAGTAAATCTCCGAAATGTTTGAACCCGTATGAATCAGCATCTCCGAACTCTGCGTAATCCACTTTTCCAAACATCATCACTGCTCTGATCACAAATTTAATTCCAAACAACTTTCAACGCGAGTTCAGATAATAAACAGACGCCAATTATGCCATCTCCACTCAATCTCTACTTCGAAAACTTGAAGCAACAGCACCAATTTGATGATATAGTCGTTGTCGATGACAGATCCCCTTCCAGCACAACGCGAAGAAGGAAATGTTTGAAGCCAAGAAGTGACGATTCTTGCGAAATATCTCAGCCTATCGAGACTGACGAAAAGGCCGCTAATCAAGACTCACAAGTAAAGACAGTGCTGAAGCAGCCATACATTGACACAACCAAGCCCATCTCGCGCCCTATCCGGATGAAGTTTGTTGCCGCCACAGCATAAGAACTGACTTTACAGCCAGTTCACCAATGCTTGTCCAGGGCTCATTCTACAATAGCTAGTACTTTCACTTGCGCACGAAGCTAGTTGACCTTCGACTCTCAGATATCTCATGGTTTCTGGACGAATAACGAGTGAGATTATATCGAAAAGATGACGACCTCCTTTCCAAGAAAAATGATGTTTTCAGCTTCTGAGGCTGTCTACAGGCAGCTTAGCATGAAAGCATAGAAATCATCAACATATAGTCAGATCCCACATTCGTGCTTTGGGACGATGACAAAACAACTTGTGGTATATATCAATAATGTAACCCACCATGGACAAAACTTGCATCTTTCTTTAGCCTTTACTGGACTATTTAGTCATGCTTGTGAAATGGCTTCTTCGCTACTGCTATGTAGGAGTTGTTTTGTCCGTCTCAATCGATGCTTATAATTTACTCATCATTCTGGAGTTATTTCATCTGCTATAAGAACTTGATACTGTCGATAAGCATAGGGTTACCATCCACAAAATTCCGCTACATTTGATTTCGTTGCAATCAGTCGTCCCCATAAGACAATAAACGTTTTGCCATATTGGCCGTGTACCGGCGGTACCAGTTCTAAAATTAAACTTCAATGAATCGCATGGTTTGGTGAAGATGAGTGGCTGGGAGTGGCTCTTCACCACCCGCTCGAACCGATACCAATCAATCGCAATCATTTTTTTCTTTCCGAGCGGAAGGGGTGGGTTGCTTCACCTGGTTCAAAAGCTACTCTATCGGTATTTTGCGCATAATGCGACATGCACAATTTTGAGTTCCTTGTATTTAAAAAAATTCTGGTCGTGTGTTTTGGTTCATTCAGTTAGTGATGAGTGAGTGCTTTTTACCAGCGCGAAAACATGTTCAAAATATTCCGATCTACGTTGAATGTAATATTCGTCCAGCTGACTTGGAAAGGTTAAATGATAGCCTGCAAGGTTGCGTGAAGTATCTCCGAAACAATATTCAAATATTATTTTTTATATACCTACGCGTCAACATTCGGAAATCTCCGCCCAATTCACCTATCCTAACTCACAAAGTGTTCATATTTCTCATTCCCATCACTTCCAACGCTCGTTCAACTAACTACACCCCAACCATGCCATCTCCACTCAATCTCTACTTCGAAAACTTGAAGCAAAAGCACCAACTTGATGACATCGTCGTTATCGATGACAGATCCCCTTCCAGCCCACCAGCATCGCGAGCAAGGAAAGGGTTGAAGGCAACAAAAAGTGATGGATCTTGCCGAACTGCTCAGCCTATTGATACTGACGATACGCAATCAAGCACAGTGAAGGAGCAGCCACACGTCGACAGCGCCAAGCCCACTATCTCGCGCTCTGTCCACCAGATCAAGAAATTTGTTGCCACCACGGCATAAGAACTGGCTGGTGTAGGGGTCATTCCCTTTCTTCGAATGACCTAACCAGATTCTTGAGTCAATGCTCCTTCGAGTCGCACATGTAACTATTCTACCTTCTACTGCCAATCTTTCTGACTGAACAAGGTTCGTCACCATGTTGGAAAGATAATCTTCTTTGCAACGGGCGGCCAACTACTTGCTTCAGTGGGTTACATGGAAGCAAACAGTACATTACCCGAACCCATATACATGCTGGGATTGTGAAAATAATTCTGAAAGATGGCTACGGTATAACCAATCAAAGTCAAAATTTGCATCATTTTTTCATTTCTCCTCAAATACTCATCATCGTACACGTACCTGATACGGTCAAGGTACAGTACCGGGTAGTACAATACGGTCGCGCGTTCAGTGAAACGGTCTTGCCCTCTACCGACAGAAGTTTGGATCGGATCAATCAACTATAGTAGCCCAGCAAAATTTCATAAAATGCAGCCCACCCGCACACCTTTATTTGCTCATCATATCGTGCGTTCATTACAAGCATCACATCTATCAACATCATGGAGGAACCGTTGGATCTCATTCGTCTGTCGATAGACGAGAGGGTTTACGTCAAATGTCGTGGGGACAGGGAACTGAGGGGACGTCTTCATGTAAGCTGCTAAAGGAATGCTTCATTTGTGGTTTACGTAATCTCGATGACTGTAGCTCTTATGCTCTATCGTTCCTTATGTTTCATTCTATTTTTCAGGCGTATGATCAGCACTTGAATATGATTTTAGGAGAAGTAGAAGAGACTGTTACAAGCACAGAAATTGATGATGAAACTGATGAAGAAATTGTCCGCAAGCAAACGAGACAAGTTGGTATGCTGTTTGTGCGAGGAGATATCGTGGTACTGGTCAGTCCACCGCTTCGAACTGGATAAACACCATTGCGCTGATCACCAATATGGACTCATCCCATGTGGGATAATTCTTTCTCGATAGCTTGGAGACATCTAGATGTCTTTTAGGATATTCAGACCGTGGCTGTGATGGAATGCTGCATCCACCTTGTAGTGCCTCCTTGCTCCTTATTCCTCATACAAAACCTAATTGTAATTAATATTTCTTTTTTTACGTTGTCTTAACTAGCATATCTAGCTGTGTAAAGTAGAATATATGCTTTTAGATAATTCGTGCCCGCAGATAATCGATCTGCTTTGAAGGGCATACACGATTGTGCCCTTTCATGAAGATAATCTGCTCATGATTCCGAATCTTCTGTAAGCGAGCCCATGCGCTTTGTGGCAGATGTGTTCGAATTCATAACGTGCGCTGGAACGCCAATCGTACTCTTCCGTGAACTAAGTTGTTGCATTCGTTGCATACTTCGTTCGAATCCACGAACGTCAGGGTCGCATCGCCCATATTCTGGTTGAGGTGGCCAGTAGGTGTCTCGCCGATAGGTCAATTGTGAATAAGGAACACTAACTTGATGAATTCCTCGCTTATCGACTTGATTCAACGCCAGCTCCAGCGGGGGGCTATTGTCGGAAGTATGAGAAGTGATGATAGGTTGGTTGGTTGGAATGTCTCGGTACACTTTCTTCTTCTTGGCTCTTGCCAGCTTCTTGATTCGCTTGTTTTGCTGCATCTCTGATATTTCTTCTCGAAAGTGAGGCCGAACATATGTGATGAAGACCCAATTCTGAGGACCTAGAACCACAATACCTACAAACACAAAGAAGAGTTGGAAGGGAAAGATCAGCGAAACCATCGCCGCAGCGAAGATGGCAACCGACACCCAAAAGGACAAGATTGGATCCTGCCAAGTGGTAATGTTCACCAGACATCGAATCGCATGGAGGAAAGCTTGGATTGCAGACACTAGAGGTGCCATGTGAGCAGCAATCATGGACTTGACTGGATTGGTAGTTCCATGTGTTCCGAGACCCAACAGTTTGTCCAAGTCATTAGTGCAATTCTTCGACTGCTTGCCTCCAAAGTAAATAGGGTCCTTTTGTGCAATCGTGTGTGTCTTATCGAGAAATGCAAACTTGGAGATGCCATGGAATTCATTCCGAACATCGTACAGCTCCTCAATAATTTTCTTTTTTTCTCCCTTCTCTGAAATTTCTGGAACGTCAATATTCTGGTCTTGAATTTGAAGGTTCTTTGGTAGTCTTTGGAAGGCAGCAGCGAGCTCGAAATTCGCATCCATCATCCCATTGGACCCGCTGCGTGACAAATTAGGATTTCCCAACTGCATTTCCAGCATCTCCTTCGTCATCTCCTTCGTCTGATTCAACATTTCTTTTCCTTTTTCTAGTCGCCCTCGTCCTCTGTCTAAAGTGTCGCCAAATTTTGCCTGGAGATTGCTAGCTGCCGTTCCGAGTCGAGAAGTCAGTTGTCCTCCTTCGCCCTCCGTGCTGGACACAGCCGCCATGATTTCAATGGAATACGATCTATCATCGTCCTCATCATTTTTTGATTGCTGAGATTTCTTTACAACTTTACAATCCTTGATGGAGAATTTTGGGTACAGATATTCTTCCGTGATTGGATGGCGAATGGCCCGAGAAAGCGGAAACTCAATATGATAGTCCTCTGGTTGATCTTCTTCTGTAGAGGACTTGAATCCCAGCAATTGTAGTAGATTCTTTGCTTTCTCGTCATGGGTTTTCAACGTCTTTTCGGATTTCAAAGCGGAGGCTTCGTCTCGGTGCGGGCGCACGTATAGTGGTTCAATCGGCTTGCCCTTGGCTAGAGCCATTGCCATTTCCTCGAAACTGGGAGGAACGAATCCTTGCTGGACCCGTCCATCGCTGCCATAAAACGCATAATTCTGCATCATGATCAACAAGAGGAAGCAAAATCCGTAAAATGGAACCAATCCAAACGAATTCAAATAACAACAGTGCATCCATGCGACGAAGCAAAGCGCCGAAAATGACCGATTCTTCCAAAAGATGATGTCGAAGACTGTCTCTTGCAGCGCATTGGTAGCGACTTTCCGGAGAAAGTGAATTTCTCTAGTCGTTGCCTTCATCAAGGGGGTGGTGAATTTGCCGGGCAAGTCTTCGCCATGAACAGTTAGAGTAATGTTTCGAAATGACGTTTCATCGTAACACAATACCGAGACACTATTGTCCTTGTCTGGATCGTTGAACTTGCGTTCCGGAAGGTAAGAGAGTATGGCTGCCTGATGGGAGGTATAGTCGATACTAAACCGCAGTCGGATGACACCTCTTGCACGACGAGAGTAGACTTGACTGGACTTCCTCAAGGGAAGGGCCACATCGTAGGTCGATCCAGGGCGACACTTTGCCAAATCCAAAACGATACGACCAGCAAAATCATCCTTCTGCCCTGGTCCATCATCATCAAAGACACCCGCAAACACCTTGGCGTAAGCATGGAAGAGAGGAAAGATGCAAGCCCGACGGGATCTGGGCAACCACACAGGATTGAGCTTGTTCTGAATCACATCACTGGTAAATGCATACGACCCGCACACCAAATAGACCACGGCGTCGGTTTCCGAGTTCCAGTCCAAGGAAGGGAGCCCGGAACATTCCAAGATTTCTACTCGGACCGTACCAATTTCTTTTCTAGTCTCAGCGGCCACTCGTAAATCATGATAAACCAGGGACGGTTTGAGCATTTCGTTGTAGATTTCCGAATGGGTCATCCACTTGTTGGGATACGCGTAGGTCGGATGCACCATGAATTCTCTTGAATCCGTCTTGTTGGTCAATCGAAAGTTGGCCTTCAAAGGAGCATGACCACCAAATTCCGAACTGCTGTCCGAGTCATCGTCGTAACTCTTCAAATTAGAACTACCATCCCGATTCAGACTGGTGAGACTGATTTGACCAGAGCTTCCATCTAGAGTCTCATCCGCCGCTACATCACTGTCCTGTTTTCCCAAAGTGGACAAAAGTTTCGCTTGTTTGGCAAACTTGTCATCTCGTTTGACGCGAATCCGTTCGTGTTTGCATGGATCCTTCCATTTTCGGCCCAATCCAAAGACGCGCTTGTGCAAATTAAAAGACAGTCGGCCCAATTCTTCAAAGGCTGTCATCCAGACTTGTTTTTCATTGCCACCCTTGCGCAAGCATTGGAAATGCAATCGGAAGGGTTCCTTTTTCTGACGGGCCTTTGTGAGAGCACCTAGCAAGGTACTGCCACCGGAAGTATTCTTCAATGGAGTCACCTGATCTTCATTGTTGTCGTCGTTGTCTGTGGCATCCCTAGTATCCATGTCCTCCATGTCCGTCACATCACTCACATCATCCGATGATGCATTGGTGGCACTCGTACCACCGCTGGGCAGTGAAAACATTTCACTTTCGACCGACGTATTGACTTTATTTTCCTTCATCTTGGAATACAAGATGGACGATCGTACCATGGCAGCCGCTTCGGATGGAATTTCGACTACAAACCGCCGGCTCGAATTTTCATAGTCCTTGGCAATCCAATTCATGGATGCTGGAATTTCCAAAAGTGGTTTGACGGATTGATCCAAAAACCCGAGATCGGTAGCTCCAATCCGAGTCGATTGATGCTTGCTTGCCGCCATTTTGCCAGCGCGTCCCGAGCGAGAACTGACGGATGGACCACTATCGGCCGTATTGTTGGGTTTGCTAGGGTATATTTTGATAGCACCTCGATTGCTAGTGTCCATGTCCAAAATGACATAGGCCTTGAACCATTTGGTGGGGAATCCAGTAGCCTTGCTATATTTCAATGACATGTGAGCTTCCAGCGAGACTGCCCCCATTCTTGGGACACTTCTGCCAGACGAGGTATAGGCAGGAGTAGGTGGCGCCAATAATTTGGAATGCTGCGATTGACGAGCTCCTCCTTGAATGAAAAAGGCATCTGCTTCACTTTGATTCGACCCCAGGGACGACGACGATCGATTCGACAACGATCTTTCAAAACGGCTTCCCATACCGGATCCATTGTTCTTTTGAAAATGACCTCGTCTATCCGCAATGAATATTTCAGATGTGTCTCCTTCATCACCTTCTTCTTCTTCTTCTTGATTTTGGCTGTCATTATCATCACTATTGATATTATTATCATCTGCCACCAGACTATCCTCGGAAAGAGCCGAAATCTTGCCACTGGTAGATCCTTTGCCCGAATCGTCCGCCGACATGTTCGAATCCGATTTCTTGAACAAGCCTAGCTTATTTTTTCCTTTGGAAGCGGCCTCGTTTAATTTCTTTTCTCCTTGCGATTTGAGATTGCTCAATTTCGAAGAAAAGTTGGGCGATGAAGGAGTGTCGGCATTTTTGTCACCTTTGTTGGAGCGAAATGGAAAGGTAGGCATGGTGATGCTGATGCAGTGATGGTATACTGCGGGGGCGATTGATTCCAAGATATAGGATGATATCCGTACGGTAGGGATATATATTCTTGAATATAGTCTAAGACCCTTTTCTATATTCTCCTGAAAGTCTTACAGGTGATTCGAATTTTTGCCTGTCTCTTTACTGGCTGTCGTTCACTGATATTAACAACAGCAAGGAGAGCAATACCGTGTGAGATCTCGCTGGTGGTTGTATGCTAATGTTCACTGGAACGTACTGCACTGCGTATGAACTATATTGTTATTGTATTTCCGCCTTATTTTCAATATACTCGTATATACGATCCTACGTCCTGCTCACGACTGTCCGTTTTATTAAAAATGCTTCTGAAGTGTCCGAAACGAATCTTTCAACCTCCGAAAAACGGAAGGAAGAGAGAGGACTTGCTTGCTCGCGAAGGGTACTTTTTCAACAGTATTCTCTGATCATGATGGAAGGTCAGACACACTGCTACTCTTTTCACCTTACTCATGCTTGTATTGGTAGGATGCATTACCGGTATGTTGGAAAAGCACAAAAGAAATGGTTACTGTAGGTTATAATACCCCAATGACGGAAGTGACTATGATCATTTTATTCTTCGATGAGAACCGTCCCAAACCAAAGCAATTCCATCATCCTGTAATGCAACACATTCGTCCATGCATTCCTTTCAAATTCAATATAAATAAAATTCCCCTCCTCGCTCTAACACCATTCTCTATAACAACATATATATATGCACTTATTGCGCACATCATTTTTCTGCTTGACTACTATCAGGTACTAGTACCTAGTATTCCTTTCTTATGTTTTCGTTTCTCATCAAGAACTCATCAAGAAAGCATTTTCATTGCCACAGTTCTTCAATCATTTCTTCACTCACTCACGCAATCAATCAATGATATAAACACAGTAATACTGTAATAAACTTGTTTACCAAGAGGATTGTCCCTCCCAGGAAGCATCATTATCATTGTTGGTACTAACCGAGTTGGTAATGGTCTGTTCCGTCGTCACGACTACTTCATTTTCATAAAGCTCTTCGGTAGGTGCCGATTCCACAACCTTTCCCAAGCTTTCGTTAATCTTTTCCGTGACACTGTGACAATTGCCACCCTTGACCCCAATCACTTTTTCTTCCACCCGTCCGTCTGGGTAAATCTTGAACTCAATCGATTGAACGTTAGTACCGCCCAAGGAATTGGGATCAAAGTCTCCCCCATAGTTGGGCGTTCCAATCTTTTGGGCTTTCAGAAGAGCAGAAGACGAAGAAGAAGATGTACTCTTGGGTGCAAAGGCATTGGCCGAGGAATCAAGAGTCATCATGATCATCAAAGCTGCTGTACTAGAGAATTGGACCTTCATTGTGTTATTCGGTTTGTCTTGTCTATTGAATGGGAATGCGTTTTGATTGATTGATTGATTGATTGATTGACTGAGTTGCTCTGGATAAAGGACCACCTACAGTATATCACTGAGAGATATGATGAACGCTTCTTTCTGGATTTCTTCCGCAGAGAAAACAAGCGGATCGTGTTCTGCAAGCGTCGGCGTGCGCAGATATGTGCTGACGTAGGCAATTAGAGACCATTGATATATGCACGCACGTCGCCATTCCCTCGCGAGGTCGATGGAGGTTTTTTTTCGGTAGATTCGAATGGGTCAACTTTAAACGTCTGGACCACCATCCGTTCATCTGCCGAGAATTCCATGGATTTGAGAAACCCAACCCCTCATTCTTTCGCTGCGGTTTGCTGAATTGGTGAACCTTACGTTCGATTTGGATTCATTGCTGCTGCTGCTGCTGCTGCTGCTTGTTTCTTGGCGGGCTGCCTGTATATTTAACAAAAAGCCTTCTTCACCTACCAACCTACTACCAACTGCAGTCCAATAAAAAATGACCAATCCTGCAACAATTTCCAGGACGTCCTCACACACAATGAGACGAGTCGTGGGAGCCAAAGGGAATGTAGTGAGAGTCTTTTCTCCAGCTTCTTCTACCGCCCCAGACTCGTCTTCTTCTTCTCCTTCGTCATCATTGGCGTACAATCGATTGGAATCTCGACGTTCCTACCGAACAGTAGCCACGGCATCGTCTCCTTCTTCTGCCTTTCCTAAAAAGACGAATTTCATCACTCAACCAAAACCACAACCACAACCACAAAACCGACAATTGCATTTTACCAAACAACCACCATCCAATAGCAATAACAATGCTGATACCACGAAACGTTCCTTTTCAAGTGCCAGCAAGCGAGACTTTTACGAGGTTCTTGGAGTTTCCAAGTCTTCCAACAAGGCAGAAATCAAAAAGGCATACTTTGGATTGGCCAAGAAATATCATCCTGATACCAACAAGGTGAGTACTATAATAACATGTTATCAAGAGAAATCTTCAAACAAGAAGAGCAATGGTGTAATGAATCTATTTTGTTCGTATGGATGCTTGCTCACATTATTGTTGCTCTTTCCATTTTCATGTGATAATTCCAATGCACCCGTTTTTTCTTTCACAATCAAAATTGTAATTACTACAATTTGAATTCCAATTCCAATCATGTATAATAGGATGACGAGGCAGCTTCGGACAAATTCAAGGAGGTTACGGAAGCGTACGAATGTCTCAGTGATGATGAACAACGAGGATTGTACGATCAATTTGGACATGCCGGAGTCGATCCCAACTTTCAGGGCGGCAATCCCTTTGGCGGCGGCGGTGGCAGAAATCCGTTTGAGGGCGGATTCAACTTTGGAGATGGGAGCTTTCACTTTTCGGGTGGCAGCGGTGGTGGTGGCCAAATTGATCCCGAGGAACTCTTTGATGCCTTTTTTGGTGGAGGTGCCCGACGGGCCCGTGGACCACGACGGGGGGCCGACCTCCAAATGCACGTCCGACTCTCGTTTGAGGAGGCGGCCTTTGGATCCTCGCAAGATTTGCATTTACGGTATCAAGTTTTGAATCAACAGAATGGTCAAATTGAAGTCAAGGAACGAGACGTGACAGTGGATACCCCGGCTGGTATCGATACCGGCATGAATTTGCGAGTGACGGGTCAAGGAGCAGAAGGTGATCCTGGTGCGCCTCGTGGAAACTTGTTGGTGCAAGTCTTGGTGGACGATCACGATTACTTCCACCGAGAAGGTTCGGATGTTCATGTGGAGGCACCCATTTCGATTAGTCAAGCCATTTTGGGAGGAACGGTGGATGTCCGAACCTTGGGTGGAGAAGTCGAAGTAACAGTGCCCAAGGGAACCCAACCAGAGACCAAACTTGTATTAAGAAACAAAGGTATTCAGCGCATGCACGGTGCCGGTAAGGGAAACCAATACGTTCACCTCAAGATTGAAATCCCCAAGTCGATTACCAAACGACAGGAAGAACTCTTGAGAGAATTCGATGAAGAGACCAAGGAAACTGGAAAGGGTATTTCTGGACGTTTAGCTGAAGCAGCAGGATCTGCCTTTGAATCCTTCTTTGGTGGTGGAAGCAGTAGCTCGAAATCCAAGGACAGCAATAAGGACAAAAAGGAGGATGAGGAAGAATTGGAAGATAAGAAGCAAGCAGCTCAATAGTAAAAACATACATAGTTGAAGAAGGAACTCCTACTACTGTATATTATGAGAATGCATTGATTCATTATTCTCTTGGCCCTGCAATTTTGTGAAGTGACCGTTGCAATTCTTGAAATGTGACAATCAGCGAATCCAATAATAAGCTGGCCCAAAACAAATCACAATCCCAAGGAGTACTTGAAGAGCTTCGTTCATACCATGAGGTCATCGGGTCCAAAGTACATCCTGCTAGCAAGATCAGACCAACAAAATGGGCATTCATCCAAATGATGCTGCATAATATCAATCTGCGGTCTAAGGCCTATGAGAAGTAAGCATGACCTGGGTTCCAGAACGGGGTTGACACCAGATCCAGCAGGGGAAGAACTACCAGCTGAGGGGCACCGATAAAGGTGAGAAAAAATCAATTTTAGCTTGAAGGCTTGGTGATGGGATGATTGACAGCACTTTGTACCATAGGTTCAAGTCAACTGGATTCTTCCTCATTTCTTGAATGGTTCTTGGCTCGAAGAAGGGCGGCACTCCTCGTGCACTGCACCACTCCGGTATTATTGGCTCATAGTAGTCGTCCTCGTGGCTTTTGCTTTTCTGTATTCTCCTCATCTGAGAAGGCGCAACCGGATCGCTTCGATTGAAGGCTGGATGCGAATCTGTGTGAATAGTGTCATGATGACGAATGATGTGAGGTCGGGGCTGAATGGTTGAGTAGCATCCAATTGGATGATTGATTCGTGACTAGTACTAGCGCGCAGTGGTGGTGCTTCTTACAGATCCCTGTGTGTCTTCCTGTGCGAACACAAGTAAAACCATAGGCACATAACGTTCGAGTAAAAGTGGCATACTTCTTGGTGTTGAAATAGTTGGGAAGAAAGTCTCGTAAGAATTCTGGCAAATCATTCACTTGGAAGGCTGCGCCGTTGTTCACCCAGGATATAATGTCGTTTCTGCCATTCTCTTCACAGAACTTCAACACATTATAGACCTTCTCAGGGAACGGTAGATCAGGAGGAGGAACGGCTTGTTCCTCGGTGGTCTTGCTTCTCGCTTGATGATTCACGCAACTTGCTATCTTGGTTATCATTTTGATTTGTAGTCTTTCAAAAATCATTTTATAAAATAATATGTGAGTACTAAATAAAACAGTTTATTTGTTTCGTAGAAGCGTGGTATGATGCATTTCACCATCTGTTTTTTATACTGTGGGATCAAGATGTTTCTCAAACATTTCACACGATACCGGTACTTCCAGTATTTCGATCCCACAAGAGCGATTATTTACCACAATATTCTCCGCTACAAGTTCTCATTCAACACACATTATGCACTTCCGATCAGGTGTACGTAATCCGGGATATACTGTACCTTACCGGTATTAGGACAATGGCTCTCCCAGCAAGCTAGGTAATACATCACGTCTTAAAATCACAACACAAATGATATGCCAAACAATCAGCCACCATCATGCATGCCATCATCATCATCATCACCATAATCCAGCAATCCAGCAATGCAACAATGCAACAATGCAACAATGCTGCAACCAATGGCTCTTTTTTGAGTGCTAGACAACGAGACTATTACACATATATTTTGTAGATTTTCCTATGATTGGTTCACATCAACAATGACTCATCAAACAGCAATATAGCAATGCTGCAACCAATGGCTCCTTTTTGAGTGCGAGACAACGAGACTTGAGTACACATCTATTTTGCTGAGTTTCTATGATTGATTCAGATCAACAATGACGCACAAGTACAGTAGAGGACGTCGTCTCTATTCCCATTCTGTGTGAAATCTTAGCATGCACATGTATTATTTATTTTAAAAAATTAGTTCTGGAAATGTTGGAAAGCAGTTGGTAGAGGTAGCCAAAATCAGTCGACTAATCGACTTTCTTGGCCATAATCTTGTTTTCAACACTCTCATGATAGGAGAGCAGCGTCTGGTAGGATCCCCAAGCCCACAATACCGATAAATTCGAGACAAAAAGTCCAATGACTTTCAGATTTTCAATACCATAGCTTTCTCCTGCCAATATAGTAAGAAAGGCAGCTATAGATCCCAACATGACCCATCTCACAATCTCTGCGACCCAAAACCTTCCATCCTCCCAAGCCCCTGATTTGGTTTCGATATAATTGTAGTTTGTCTTGAGGCCAGCTGCAAGATTCAACGGCTGGGTGAATATGAAGGCCTTGAAGAGTACCATCGCGTCAGGACCAAAGAGAGCTGGGTACAAGACCAGACCGGCAAAGTGGGTATGCATCCACATGATATCCATGAAATGATGTGGTACTATACCAATCGTCGGACTGAGTCTGAAGTATTCAGAATTCGGTCCATAATCAGTGAGCAAGGCCTGAATTGTATGCCCCACAGAGAAGACGTACACCCACGCCATTCCAAAGGATGACATGTCCAAATATTGACAAAGGAGAGGCATCGAAAACGGCGAGGCGTATTCCACACAAGCTGCAACTTTGGCAGTTGGAATGATCGGAAAGCACTTGTACCACAAGTTCAAGTCCATTGGAGTTTCCATGATTTCTTCCACGGTTCTTGGCTCGAAAGAGACCGCCGGTTCTTGTTCTTCATAGCTCATCGGAATTGGCTCAAAAGCGTCGTCGTCAAAGAAGCCGTTGTCTTGTTTCGTGGCATCCATGTCCGTTGGTGGAAACATTTTGGTCGGCTCCAGTTCATCAGCTCCCATGTCGCCACTGAAATCCTTATTGATCGAGTATATTTCATCTCGGACGTCCTCGGGTATACTTTTGGTCACTGAATCGTGATGGGCAATCGGCTTCGGGGGGTTGTGGTAGGCAGGGTTCGATTTGAATTTGCCAGCATCAAATGTACCGACAACTTCCGCTCCTGGTGGGAGGCGTACCAGCAAGTATGTCAACCCATCAGCAATCTTGGCTCCGACAGAATGAAAAGATCCACCCAAGGCAGCTTCACTGCCACTACGACTCTTAGTAATGGAGGGACTGGAAGCTGATTTCTGGGTTTTCTTTACTCTCCTCATCAGAGAAGGAGCAGCTGGGTCATTGCGATTGAAGTCTGGGTGCGAATCTGTGTGAAACGTGGAAAGTACAAGAGTGAGGTCGTGAATCGCAAGCAAATATTTGCGAAGTCCTGAATTGCATCCGATTGAAAAGGCAACACAATAACAGCATTTTCATGAAATGTTTCTTACAAATTCCAGTTTGTCTTCCTGTCCGGACACCAGTAAAGCCATAGGCACATAGCGTTCGAGTGAAGCTCGCATACTTCTTCGTGTTGAAATAGTTGGGAAGGAAGTCTCGTTCGAACTCTTTCAAATCGTGCACTTTGAAGGCTGTCCCATCGTTCATCCAGGAAATGATGTCGGTTCTGCCATTCTCCTCGCAGAGTTGCAACACCTGGTAGACCTTTTCAGGGAACGATAGATGAGAAATATTTGCCATGTTGGTCTCGTTCAAATAGTGCAAGTGGATCTCACAGGTTGTGTGATGAGTGAGTGTGTTGCAATATATATGCAGCAGATGATACGACTACCGTACATTCAACGAGGTCGGAAAATCATTCCATGTGTTCTGTGAGCATTCTTCGTATCAAACTGTGCGGACCGAACATTTTGGGGGACCCAAGAGATTCGATATGTGCAAAATGAGAACACCTTGAATTTCGCAATCGAGGGAACATCTTGGAAAAACACAAACATTTAACAAGCTCCATCACTGGCAACTGAGGTTCAAGCAAGGCGAAGGCACAACAGAACCAGAACAGGGTGTACATGCGCGTGTTACCGTTTTAGTGTATTTGAAAACGCAAATGCGGAGAATCTCTAAGTCGTTGTACTGGTATCACGGTAATGAACATGGTATTTTTAATTATTGCGGATTGCGGGCGATCTGCCTACCCAACCTACAGAACAGTAATTACTTTCAATAAGAGGATCACAGGAAGCAGGTGGTAACTTCTGACGTTGCCCTACCTGGCGGTATTGGTAAGAGAATGTTATTCTGAAGATGAGTGGAAGAAAAAGCTGCCTCAAGTCTACTGCTAGTACTGCTAGAAGGCCCAGCCACGAGCGGCAATGACGGATTAATTCACCCACCAGCAATGATGGCTGGTGCTTGCTTGGCAGGTTCCCAGGGGCAAAGTAGTTGGAAAGCGTCGTACTGCTGGGAGGTCCAAAGCAATCTGCTTTGTAGTACTTGAAATGATACGGTACTACTATCCTCTGTTCCTGTAGCAGTCGTCCGGATGACTGACTGACTCATACTTCATGAATTCTTCGCGGCTCCCAAGAGTCGGGCAGTAGTTCCGCCTGTGAATAGTCAGTAGGTAGACTATAGTTTGTTTGCCCATTGCCTTGACCTGATAGAGGTATTGGTTCAAAATTGCCTTCCTTGTTTGCACCAAAGCAATGTATTTGGAGATTCATTCTGTTCTCAGTCGTTTCCCTTGCTGCTGCTTGTGTTAGTGCTGTCGTGGTCGGTGCTACGTGGGCAGCGCCAAGCATGGCATTATACGTCGGAGTGCTGGTTGTCTGTCTTTCACCTTGTCCATCATCCTCTACATCACTTGGGCTTATTGCAGCAGTGTGGTGATAGGAAGAAGTTGAGTTCCCAATGCTGGAAGTCGACCCAGTGAGGTTTCGGGAAGACCCGACTCTCGTACTGTTGTGATCTTCACTCTCAAATGTACCAACCAAATCAGATCCTGGTGGAACGAGGGACATCATGTGTGTTAACCGATCCGCGGCTTGAGAAGCAACTGAATGACAAAATCCACCGACGCCTACTATGCCACTGCTAGTACTGTGATCTTCACACCGTGTACCATTAAAATAGGATGGAAACTGGAACCTTTGCTCGCCAACAATTTCATCATGATGTCTTGTCCTGTTGGTAGTAGTAGATAGACGACGATTGTTCGATGATGCCTCATTGGAAGAATTGGAACTTGCTGAAGACCCTGAACTCCTCTTTTTCTTTATCCTTCTCATCAGACAAGGGGTTGCCGGATCATTGCGATTAAAGGCCGGGTGCGAGTCTGTGTGAAGAATGACATTATTACGAATGACATGATGTGAGGTCCATGAAAAGCACAACATGATAACATCAAGAGGCAGCAGGAGGAGCCATGTCCAGAATGAAGTGTTTGTACTTACAAATGCCCGGTTGCCGTCCCGTGCGAACACCACTAAAGCCATAGGCACATAGCGTTCGAGTGAAGCTGGCATACTTCTTGGTGTTGAAATAGTTGGGAAGGAAGTGTTGTTCGAACTCTTTTAGATTATGTACCTTCAAGGCAGTGCCGTCGTTCACCCAAGATATTACGTCAGTTCTGCCATTCTCTTCGCACAGCTTCAACACATGATAGACCTTCTCCGGGAACGATAGATGATGAGTCGCCGATCCACCCTCGGGGGTCTGCCTTGTTGCTGGATGTGAATGATGAGTCATGAAATGGTTTTTGCTGTGACTGTGATTTTTTGATTTTTTATGTGTGAATAAAGACAGTGATCGGAGCATAATGAGAACTGTCGTTTCCATGCCGTCACCCTTTTTTGATCAGACATTATAGTCCAACATTGCGCTGTTTTCCGTAAACACTACGATACTGATTCTACACAATTTGAATCCATACCTAGGGAAATTTGCGTATATCCACTTCGATCAGACACAATTTTTTGGATCTTGCGTTTTCAGAATACTATCGCGACAAATTCATCTCACGCGTCAAATTACCAGCGCAAACCGAACATATATCAAGAGATCCTGATCAGACGAAGGTTGCAATCTCCAAACAATTTTTTGATATACAGTATCCGTTCACAGCGTGTTCGATTCTTGATCAGACACCTGACTGACGACACACAATCATAAAATCGATGCAGTCAACTAGAAAATAAACGTGTACTGTTGTACATGGTCAAGTAGTTACCGGTACCGGTACGCGGGTGTTCAAGAGAATGAATCAACAGATTTCTGAAGCGAAGGAAAACAGAACTCCAGCTACCAATAGGAGGGAGCCCCTGCCTCAAACTAAATTTGGTATCGGTGCAGTACAGTCCCTGGTGCTGTACAGTACCCGGTACCCTACCAGCGACTGAATTGGAAAAACTTTGATGCCTACTCGGAACCCCTGTACCAATACCGGTAATAATTGTACCATGTCATGCCATACCATACGTTTTCCCGAAGAGAAAAGGAGAAGAGTTCGACACTGGCAATTCTTCTACTGTTGAAATACAGATACCGGTAAGGTAGCAGCACAGTGTCCAGCAGTATATAATAGCAGCTACTAGTAGTGGCCCAAGATTTTCTCCTTGTGAGGACAGAATTAAGAAGTCGACTCCAAGCCTTTACGGCACGTTATGTCTTTGCAGACCATACCCTGTGCAGTTATACCCTTTTCTCCTTGTGAGGACAGAATTAAAAGAAGAAGACGAAGGTCATTTTTGCCGCCACAATCCGACTCATCCATGTTTGACCACAGCATAGCCTTTCCAACCCCCCACAGTATCTTCGGAGGAATGAACAACCTGGTTTGCATGATGATTATGATGGTAAAATTCCTGCTGGATGCCAGCCAGCCAAGAAGATAGTACTACTAGGACTCGAGGAGCCGGCTTCTTCCGATACGGCTTCCGAAACAACGAAGCTCCTATAATTTTTGAAAATTGTATGATACACTATGGAGGTACAATATAGTGTTTTATTATTACTACGAGTAGTATACATGCTCCTCTTTAGTATCTCCCCCCTGCGACAAGTCATTGCCACTAGGTAGACACTCGCGAACGAAAATGCCGAATGACTCCGGGATCTTTCGAGAAAGATTTCTCGCGCTCGTGACTTGCACGCGCAGTATATCGTCTGTCATCTGTCATACGTGTTCTGTATATCAAGTCAATCGTTCGAACAACGACGATATTGATGACTCGACTCGTACTGAAGGACTGTATTCTCAGCCTTATCACTTTATCCCATTCGTTCCTGTCCATTCAGTACAGTACAGCACAGCACAGCACAGTACAATAAGAATAACAATAGCATTCAATCATGGGCATGCGTAGAATTGATGGTTCTTGCTTCTTTGCCGCAATCTTTTTTGTGGTGAGCGGAATTTTCCGGACCATCCTTTTTGGAAGACGACATGGAAGCCACTCGGAAACCAATTTTGGTCTCATGAAGGCCTTGGATGGAGAATACATTCGGAATCAATGGGAGGACATTGACGGAGTTTTGCATTCGCTTCGAATTATTCAAGGCATTCTACATATTCTGGCATGGATCATTACAGCCACGGTCCTATTCCGGGCAGCCTGGCTTCAATCTTCCCGCGGCACCCACAGTATGGGCTTGCATTGCTCAGTCGCCTTTTTGGGTGCCACGATTGCCATTGTGGAGCTTCTAGTTCATATGCTGACCTTTGGTAGCATGATGGCACTTCAATGGATGGCATCTGACTTTACCATGGAGAATTGGTATGAAATTGAGGGTCTGGGAGCAGATCAACAGGATTTGCTGGGATGGAAGGTCCTGGAAGTGGTGTCCATTGCTGCGCATGGCATGTTGCTATGGGTGGACACTATCGAATATTTCTTCTTGGCTACTGTATTGATTTTACTATTCATTTCAACAAAGGGCCAAGCATCTCCCCTTTCCACGTCCTGGTCTTGCTTTGGATTGGGGATTGCCTTTTTCTGTATTTTGGATGTCGCAGCCGAAGTGCTACGATTCAACAACTGGCGATTGTTTTCTCAAATCTGCTTTTGGATTTCCACCGCCAATAGATGCATTCTATTCCCCAACTGGCTAATGTGGCTCGGGGTTCAGCTGGCTCAAGCTCCCACGGCAATGAAACAAGAAATCAGCATTGCCCAGATGGAAGGTGATGCAGCTGGGCATGATTAAAAGAAGTTATGTCATTGACATTCTATTGACCATAGTCTACAGGTACATACATATATACATATAATAGTGAACTTTATTTTAAAATAGTTTTCAATCGTTTTACATTGGTACCGTACTACCGGTATTGATCGATGTTCAGTGTGTGGCTCTGAAGCATGAATGTTACTGGTACTCGTACCGGTACCAGGGTTCCGAGAGTTTCTCGAGCGTGAGTCAGGCACGAGAATTTTCACCGCGTCGCCCAATCATATCGCAGGATTGTTTCGCCAAACGAAAATCGATGCCTGCTTTCATCATTTATCGTGCAAGAATGCACATGATTTTCTAAATATTACTGTAGGATTATTGCAGCTGAATGAGTATATACCACATATCCTCAACGCAATACTACTATTAAAATACTACTTGCAACGACCAATAAAACCAACAGTAGTCAATCCATTCTAATTGTAAAAGTTTGGAACCACAGCATCAGCATCGTCCATCTGGCACATCAGAAACATCAGAAATAGAAGCCAAACATCAGAGCTGAAATCAACCTCTCCTTATATATCATCCACACGACGAAACGACATTCCAATTTCAAATTATACATACCTTTACTATAGTAGAACTATACAAGCACAGAAACAAATATGAGCCAAAACCGCAAGTGTGATCCGTTTTGCTACTTGGCAGCCATTCTCTTTTTCGGAAGCGGCGTCATTCGATCCGTCCTCTTTGATCAGCCACTGTCCAGCGCTCCCTTTAATTTTGACGATTGGACCGACATGGACGGGTACTACGTCAAAGGACAATGGACGGGTCAACGATCACTCATATTGGATCTTTGGGCAACCTACAGTACGATGCATGTGTTGGGATGGATCGTTGTGGCGACCGTTCTCTTTCGGTTTGCCTGGATTCAGTCGGCCAATGGTACTACTAAAATTGGTGTCAATGGGACCATTGCCTTTGTCGGAGCAATGGCGGCCATTGTGGAATTAGTGGTCCGGATGCTCTTCCATGGCAGTGCACACGCACAACATTGGATGGCAAACAGCTTTACCTTGGATAAATGGTATGCATTACAAGACATGACGACCGGAGAAGTGGATCGGATTGGTTGGAAGACTCTGGAAGTGGTTTCGATTGCCTCCACTGGATTCTTGCTTTGGGCCGATACCATTGAATACATGGCAATGGTGGTGATATTGGTTCTCATTCACAATTCGACAACGGTGGCCGGGTCCGTTTTCAGCAAGAAATGGGCCTTTTTTGGCGTGCTGATTGCCTGTCTCAACGTGGTGGACATTGCAGCCGAAGTCTTGCGATTCCAACATTGGAAACTCTTCTCAGAAGTTGCCGTTTACATTTCATCTGCCAATCAGATTATCATCTTTCCCATTTGGTTGATTTGGGTAAGTTTTCATATTATTGAAGAATGAATCAATCTTGCAATGCTTATTGCGCAACAACAATAAGTTATTGTGACTGTCGTCATCGATGATCTTCACCCATTCCTAATATTATTCACCACCTTTTTTTTATATTATATAGATGGGAATCCAACTGGCTGCGGTTCCAAAAATGAACCAAAGTGTAGAAGCTCCAGAGGACTTGGTGCTAGACCATGAATAGGCATGGTAGTAGGTATAGTTGCATAGTTATCTATAAATAGCTTTACTATTACGTATAGGACTACATGTAAGAATTACAGTGAGTCTTTGGTGTGAAATAGTAATCATGCAGTCATTTGACATGTATGCTTCAGCTATACACTTGACATTTGCGGGCGCACAGTAGGCAGGCCATTCTCTTGCTCGGAATTGTATCAGATGTTGTCACTCACCATGTATATATTGATAGCTGCCTGTCTGCCTGACTGCCTGCCTGCCTGACTGCTATTATAGTATACTTTCACAGCAAATACTCCAATATCAGCTGAATGGTAAGAATGAGGGCAAACAAAGCAATGATCCCATGAAGCTTGACATGGTCATCCAAAAAGTCAATGAACGGTTTGCACTGAGATGCCAAAAAGGCTTGTATCCCGAGCATGGCAATTCCCGCCAATAGCGTCCCCGCCAATAGTTCCCAGACGGAGAAAATGTGGCCAACAATCAACGCTGGGAAGTAAGAAACTTCGTCCAAGAATCCCATAGTCGTCAGCAGCACAATCGTCCATGGTTGGCTGGTGGCCTGCGGAGAGTCATCTTCCTTTTCAGGTGGTAGTGATGATTCGGATTTTTCTTTTTCGTGTGGTTGGGGAAGCATACTTCCATAAGATCCTTTATTCTCTGCATCACCATTATCATCACCATTATCCTTTAGTCGAGAAGCCTCTTCTTGCTGTTGCCGGCGTCGCCTCCTTTTGAGTTGTTTTTTTTTAATATAGAAGAAAGCTGCGAGCATCCAACAAAAGACGACGGCGATCCATTGCAATCGGAGCTCGAGCACATGTTCATCTGCAGCCTCGTTTATTATTCCTGATGATGATGATGATGATGATGATGATGATGATGATGATGATGATGATGATGATGATGATGATGATGCAAGAAATAGTTGTTCCAGGATTATCGCAAGCGCGCAACACAACAATGCCAGTCCCATTAATGTGGATAGAAAGGTTGCTGCATTCACCACACGTGCTGCCTTTGGAAGAGAGGAGGTTCCCACAAACGAAACGAGCCAAATGGAATCGTCCAAGGTGGTCATGAGGACCGTCACGGTGGCCCCAAGTAGCCCGCTCCATGATATGAAGCGGAAGTCATTCTCGCTGTCGGCTGTTGCTTCCATTGCAATAATTGGAGCTGATGAGAACGTGAGACCATATGAAACGTAGTGGAAACTGTCTTCCAACTATGCTGCTGTTGTTGTTGTTGTTGATGTTGCCCGCAACTAACAACATAATATTTGTACGTACGATATCCGACGATGGAGAGGGGGACGACATATGAGGGACGATGTGAGGGACGATATTCAATATGCGAGGGACTACAATTCACAGTGACCAATATGATGAGGGACAATTCACAATGAGGGACAATTGAGGCCTGCTTTGAGGACCATATTTTACTGTCAAACCGCCATTTACTACTAGTATCAAAGCACGCAAACGTAGTAGCATCACAGGCAGTGGAAGCAATTGTGATCAACCTGTTCCACACATGTTAGAAGTAAGCGATCCACTGCCGCCTGCAATCTACCTGTTCAATTGACTGCGATTTAGCTGTCCAGGTATTGTTGCCTTCTAAGTATGTGAATTTACAGTATATAGAAGTATATAGATCAATC